AATTGGTTGACCAATTGTACCTAATTCATCGGGTTTCACTGGTCGTGTATTAGATTGAAATTGTATCGCAGTCAGATCGCTCACAGTCCAATGAGGATCTTCGGGTGCCACATTTCGTTTCCAGCGACCTGCACGACCCCGAGCAGTTGTAACAACCGGTCGGGTGGGTGGAGATGGTTGTGAACTAGTTGATATTGATGAATAGCCGCTTTCAGACTGAATGTCACATTTACTCGAAGAGACAGGAGATGACAATGAAGAATGACTGCTAGTAGTAGACATCGGGAATGTTGACGAATCCTCATAACAAGCATTTTTAGGAATACGACCTCTTCCTCGACCAAAGGGTGAGGTCATCTACGAAACAATGATTCTTGGAAAAGATTAGTAAAGTTCAAGTGGAAACAGCCCATTTCATAACTGGTAGCTGTGGGGATTTCCCAGCACAAACTTTTAATCTAGAAAGAAAGTGTTTCAATTCGTATTATGTTTAACTAGTTGTAGATCACGCGGAATCCAAAGGATACCGACATTGAGGATATAAATTTTTTATTTTTGTTCACTTTGTCATGGAATAAAAGAGGCTATATTTTTTTAGGGTGCGTTGAAATAATTCTTTTACAATAAATTTCACACTACTGAAAATGACAATAATATTGGTGCATCTTAAATGTTAGAAGATCATAGGTAAATTTAATATTTTGATATTGGGTGTTCTTTTACAATAAGCACAGTGGTACAAACTGCTTGAGTGCAAGATTACAATAGAAAAATAATTTATTTCGAAGATTAATCAACGAGAAGAAAATTTTCACCAATCAATCATATGCTTTTAGTTTTGAGTAAAATAAAAATATGAGATTATTAAACAACTCAAAAGCAAAACATGAAAATTAAAATAAACTAAAAAAATCAATAATGTCTATAGAAAGAAAGGGCAATCATTCGCAATCTTCCCACTTAGAACTATACGTTCACTTGTGATTGTATTCTTTATGTCTTTTTCTTCACCAACAGCAACAAGAGGTTCTGAAACAATGGATTCTCTAAAAGAAAACGAAAATACAACAACCCGATCTAAATGCAAGATTGAACTCACGTGTCTGAATCATCGGTATTCCCTACATAATAAGTACCACGCAATGCTAATAAATCTGCATATTTTACTGGTGCTGGAATCGACACTGAACGAGTACATCGAGCATACGTATAGCAAAGAGCATAGGTCAACATTTGAACTTCATCCGGTCGTAGTTTATTATCATCGTACAACACATGATAATGTGTTGGTCGACTTGTTCCCTAAAATATGTGACGAACATCAAATATCACAATCCAACATGATCTGAATGATTTCATCTTACTAATGCTCCATGATGACTGTTCAAATAAAAATCATAAGTAGTAGGATTCGTAATATCATGCGAATCGACTACTGTACCGGCTTGTACGTTCTTGTCTGAGTTCGTCGGAAAGAATCTTGTGTGATGTCTCTTATTAACAACAATATATGTAAGATATGGTCGATACACGGGTGACAGTTCAACACAAGCTTCACGTATTGCTGTGAGTTCTTTTTCGAAGACAGTATCGAATTCACTTTCAGATATTCCATCACGATACATAACGATGGCGTTTGGGGGATAACCTCGATGTCGTTCATATTGCTGAATTAAAGACTTCATGATCGCCTTCATGTCGACGATGTATTCCCGACTTTCATTTCTTGCGCTTTCTGGTCGGTGCTGTTGATAAACTTCTTTGAAATATCGACTAGGTACATCATCAGCTGATGCAACGACAGCTACAACAGAAGGTTGACTACGAGCACTTGGTGGAGCATGACTGAGATCGGCTCCAACATACATGACACGATGACCATGCGAGAAGAATCGTTCGATAACATCACTAAAACAATTGAAATATTTGAACATTAGTTAAATGCCACACCAAATCTGAATATCTGTTCCGAATACACTTACTGCACTTTTAGAACAGCATTTATTCCATTAAGTTTTGTATTTATTTTTAGTAAAATATTGTTCAACTTCGCATAGTCCCATCTCGCTTTATCTTTTTGTTTTCCAACTACTGCATTTCTCTGTTGAATCATTTGCGTGACGGCCCCATGGCCAAACTCTAATTCACACTAAAAATAACACAGATATATAGTTTTCCAGCAGAAGTCATCACTTTACCAATTTCTTGAATAAACCATATAGGTCACTTTTCAATTTACCGTTCACCGATAAAATTACGACGAAAAAATTACAACCCTTATTTTTTTTCAAGATCTGGTTCAGAACACCGATTATTCCATTAATTGTGCTTTTTCTTGAATCATATTCTTCATAGATTACGGGTGGGCAGCATTCCATACCTCGCTCTACAGCAATATTGGAAAGCTCATTGTAAAAATCTTCACATGCATGTTGATCTAGTGATGATAAATTGATCATTCCCCAAACAGCTGGAAACTTGGCTGGTGTGTGAAATCGAGTTGGCTTCATCTGCCACGTACCCATATCTCGAACTGCACCAGAAGTGACATGATACTGATCAGTGTAAACTATTTCAGGCATCGGTAGCACCCGGGCTGGTAATGTCAACATGTCAGTCGAAACATTCATATTCCAAGCAGCAATAAATGGATCTTCTTCGAAACATTGCTTTTTAGGATTCTTTCGAATCTCGTTAATAGATTTAATATAAACGGAAGGATGCATTGTTGACTGTCTGCACATAAGAGCTCTTTGCTCATCAGTGATTTTTTTTACTCTAGCTGGTTCAACGTCAACAAGCTCCATTGGTATATACGACCTATTGTGCATCTCTAATGTCGGCAAAGATGGGTACCTATACATTGAAAAAAAGTAGATAAAATTGCGGTACGGTAAATTTTTTTCTCTCAGCGTACTTCAACACCAGTCCATAATGTTCTTTATAATAATTTTCAACTGTGACCGTTTTATTTTTACTTCCTTTCCATATGAATTCTTGTGTTGACGCCGATTTTCCTAATTTGGAAATACTATATACTATCGGTTTACTTGCATCTTGTGATCGAACTCGGACATCTATTTATGCAAAAATCCAACACTTTTAAGCTTTTAATTGAGAAAAATGCTTACTTTTACAGTGTTTGAGTAGAAAATTCATTTCAATTTGGTATGTCGGATTTCTGATGTCAAGAAATTCAAGAACATCATCGCCATGAACTTTCTGAACATTTCGTTGACGACCACCATATCGTTTTTTACCACATGGACTGTGTAACATTATTTCACAAAGAAATTCAAGAAATGGTTGTTTTTTCATAAACACACCATGATTGACTATGATAATCGAAATGAAGAAAAAAGTTTAGTGTGTGTAGAGATGATCTTTCATATATAGTATCTTACTATCAAGGTTCATTAGAAGGTGATGTGCTCCTTTAGAAAAGACAAGACATGAATAAAATCCTCGCCATAATGCTTTTCCTAAGCCAAGATCCCATTCTCCATGTTGTTCAGGTGTAGTCTGTGCAAAAAACAATCTATCGTAAATAGCAGTTGCATGAAATGAACAATTTTCATGCAATGCAATCGATAGAATTTGTTTGATGATATCAAGATCTTGTGGTGTGTTGTTCAATCGATTCTCTGTATGAAGGATTTCATCAAAGTTCTGTATTAGAGCTAGATCAATCGGCTCTCCTGCTCTCCGAACGATGACTTTGTGAGTTACTAGTCGATTTGAGCGATTTGGTGCTTTTATTTCTTGAACAGTGGCCTGAAAATTGTTATAATGCAGAAATTCAAGAAGAGAAGACTGCGTTACTTACAGTTCCGTCAATATCAAATAATGGTTGATTGAATGTGAGAATGGTCGATAGGTTATCGAAGACAATTTTATGTCGATCGATTTTTGTATATTTTCCACAATATTGTTGCAACCATAAGTTGTATACTAGCCTGTAGTTTTAGAAATAGTAGGAGGTTAGTAGAAAAGAACAACGATAGTTTGATTACCGTCGGCGATCACGATGAATTTCGAGATTCTTCCAGTCATGTATTTGAATATGATATCTGTAAACAAGACCTCTACGTGGATATTGCAGTATAGGAAAATAGTTGGCGATGACTTGAATTGGTTGACCAATTGTACCTAATTCATCGGGTTTCACTGGTCGTGTATTAGATTGAAATTGTATCGCAGTCAGATCGCTCACAGTCCAATGAGGATCTTCGGGTGCCACATTTCGTTTCAAACGATCTGCACGACCCCGAGCAGTTGTAACAACCGGTCGGGTGGGTGGAGATGGTTGTGAACTAGTTGATATTGATGAATAACCGGTGTCTGGTCTACTCTGGTCGGTTGTTATTGCTGGTGGTGACACTGACTGATCGATAGCAGGACTATCAGAAGTTGACGAATTATCAAATGTCAATGGTGTCGAGGTTGTTGAAATATCAGTAGACGGAGTAATGGATGGAGGCGGTGGTGCAGCTGAATGAGTTGTTGATCGGGCACGCCCTCGACCTTTTTGTAGTTGAGCTGACGACATAAATAAGAAGTCTGATGCAAGTCGGAATTCTCGAGCAACTGAATTGATGCATTAGTACGATCGCCTAGAAAGTCTTTTCCTCACTGGGAATTTATTTTAGTTTTCTGTTCTTTTTCTGCTGACTCAATCCAATAGGTTGTCCAACCAATGATAGCGTTTGAAATATGCGTTGGAAGTTAAAGAGGCCGTAGGTTTACATTTTCATGAACATCAATGTTCTGTGTGGTTCTGTCTAAAGATCATGATATATGTTTGGTACAACTTTTATTCTGTATAATATAGTCTGAGCACTATTGATCTAAATTTATTGGCAAAAAAAAGTGAAACTGATGATAGCGATAAGAAATATGAAAAAAGCATTGATATACTATACCATTGAATTGAGCAATAACATATGTCTATATTTTTTTCTGTTCAACTTTAGCTTGTTTTTATGTTATAACTTGATTTTTATTATGTATCACAATGGGAAAAAAGGAAGCGCTTTGGTACATCTGAAAAAAAAATGATTATTACAGTTTTGAGAAACAGTTAGAAAACAAAACAATGTAAGAATCGGATCCCAAAACGAAATGCCCAGATCATAGTAAATGATGAACTGTTCTTAGCTCAAATTACTCTTTTGTTTTTCATTGTTCAAGAAAACATTGAATTGAGAACGCTGCTGATTGGCGGTACTGCACGTTCACGACAATCACCAATACTTGATTGATGCAGTGAAAGTACACATATCCCATAAAAGTGAACACATGCCGCAGCTACCACAAATACATGAAAAATCTGATGGCTTTGAAACTAAAATAATAGAAGATTCAGGCAAATTAAAATAAGAAAATGAAAATATTGTTTTACCCAAATATCGAAGTAACCAGGAGCTAATCGTTCGGGTATGCGAGCTATTCAAACTCACAAAAATAGTATATGTCAATCTATAAAAAAAAAAACATACCAGCATAAAGGCACGCTCCTGTAATGTACAAGACGGCCATGACGACTAACCATTGAGCAGCACCAGCTAAAATAATTGCATAATGTAAACATGCAATAAAAAGGAACTGAACATATTCTAAAGTTCATTAGCTTTTATAATTATGCAGACGAAAAATGCATGACATGATTTACAGCAATGTTGCTGAGTTTATTTCTACAAGTCTTGAATAGATTCAAGAGCTTTTCGTTTTCTTCTAAAAGACAGTAGTTTACATACTTGTAAAAGCATGTTTAAAACCGAATAATAATGCATAATGGGATGTTGGAATGAAACCAAAAAGACCAAATGCAATAAAAAGAACTATAAAAATAAAGCAGTTAACAATCATTTTCTATATAACAAACAAAAACTTACGTGCTCGACATGTTCGATACTCTGGCGAAGCAAATTTATCCCACATCGAAACAATAATACATCCAACTCCTAATAAAACAGTTATCAATGTGTAGGCTATTTTTGTCCCGAATTCACAATAGAACCCATAATAAAGCCATGGAATGAACGAAGCAATAATCAATATTGATATACCACAATAATCAAGTCTAAAAATATTTTTATATTTTGTTACGATCGAAACAAAATAAACAAGCTTTTATGTTTTCTCTCACTTGTTAAAAAGTTTCGCAACCTTCGGTGAATGACAATGGAGTGTATGATATAATGTAGAAAATAATAAACAAAGAATAGCTCCGAGAAAAAAAGCACCAAACGTAATTTTTTTTTCAATATGAACTTCGCTCGATGGTCGTGAAATAAAATTAACAGCAATAATAATAAAAATGACTGTACCCACTAGATGTGTCCAAATATTAACCGTTTCCGTATGGAGTCGAAAGATCGATGCGAAACATTCTTTAACACTTGGCATTGGTGGACGATGACCAGAAATAAGAAATTCGTTATCAACCAGCCAATTCGGAAGATGACTATGATCGACAACATATTGAACAACACGTTTGCCAACTTCGCGTGCTTGTTCAACACATTTTGTTGGAACTTCGAGTACGGTATCGATTAAGTTTTCATTATCATCATCATCATCATTACCATTGATGGGGCCTTTTTTCGATGGATGAGAATTATTTTGTGAATACGTCGATTTACTGTCACTGTCTTCGGCAGATCCACTCTAAGAACAGAAATCATTTTGTTGTACTTTTTTTCGTCAGAAATTTTTATCTTACGTGAGTTTTATCAGGCACTCGTCGCCGAATGTCTTGTTGATTTGGATTCGAATCCTCTGAGGATCTAGCGTGCTCCATTAATTTATAGGATTTAAATAATCTAAAATAAATTATCAACTGATTTCTAAAATCTTTCATTTCTGAATATCTAATTAGATCAATAGATAAAAAGTGGAATATATTTTTAAAGTAGAAAAAAAAGAAGCTAAAATATTTCTTTTAAGTGTACATTAAATCATAGACGAATGAATGAATAAAGGCAAAACATCATGATTAACATGTACTGAACAATTTTTTTTTTCAATTAAAATTGAAAAGTATGCAAAACGTTTGCGCTTAGAAGACAGAAGTTAGACAATAATAATAATAATAATAATAATAAAGAAGGTGCCTGAAGATATCAGCAGGAAAGCACAACACATATATTAAACATGTAGTAAAAAAACCCGTAAAATTTACGGACAAAACTACATGGATACAAAATCTTATGCTAATTCTGATTCGACTAACTGATTATAGAAGCTAGTGGAGCGTTGGTTGCACCTAATATGTTTCGGCAATCTCCAAAAAAGTTCTTTTGGTTGTTTGATAATACGCATATACCGTAATAATGAACACAAGCTGCAGCCACAACAAATACGTGGAAGAGTTGATGACTTTGAAACTTGAAATAAAAACAAATTGTTTATTAAAGGTCAGCAAAAGAATAAGTTTTCTTTTTTTGATTTACCCAAATATCAAAAAGACCGGGAGCTAATCGTTCAGGTATTCGTGCTAAATAAAATTTAAGGAAATAAAATAAATTAACTCAATAAAATCCTAGTTTTATTTACCTGCATAAAGACAAGCGCCAATCAGATAGAGCGATGCGACGATCAACAAATATTGAATGGCACCAGCTGAAATGCACAGAAAAATGCAAGGGGGAAACAGTGGACTTTTGGACTTGAAGTTACTTTGAGCTATCTGAAGTAGCTTACTTTGAAGTGTTTTTCAGCTTCAAATTTTCCTAAAGTTACTTAAAATTATTTTAAGCTACTTGTTCCAACTTGGGTGGTACTTTGGGCTACTTCAAATAGTCTACTTGAAGTGCTTTGTCTTACTTTTCTACATCAAGTTCATCGTCGTCCCCTTGGAAAAATGACTCGTTTCGCATGAAAAAAATAAGCATAATCGACTTGATTATAAAGACAACTTTGTTTACATCGATTCGTCTGTATATGCATAGACGGCGCAATACTCGAATAGAAAAGAAAGATAATAATCATCATACCTGTAAAAGCATGTTCCATACCGAATCGAATCATATAATGGCAAGTTGGAATGAATCCAAATACAGCAAATGTAATAAAAAGTACTTTGAAGTAAAACAGAAAGGTAGTGAGAAAATTTTCTTTCAATAACTTACAGGCTCGATAAACTCGATATTGCGATGAAGAAAATTTATCCCACATTGTTATGACAATACATCCGGTGCCTAACAAACCAATAAATGTTAAATAAGCCACTTTGGTGCCAAATTCACAATAGAACTGATAATAAAGCAAAGGAATTATGGATCCGATAATTAATAAAGCAATTCCACAATAGTCAAGTCTGAATATATCAATCAGCAATTATGGTCACATTACAAAAAAATAGTGTTTTTCTTACTTGCTGAAAAATTTTGAAATCTCCGGTGAATGACAATACAGTGTATGATATAGTGTTGAGCATAATAAACAAATAATAGCTCCAAGGAAAAATGCACCAAAAATTAATTTTTGCTCAATATGAACTTCATCTGATGGTCTCAAAGAAAAATAAATGGCAATGATAATAAAAAATAATGTGCCCAATAGATGTGTCCATATGTTAACTGTTTCAGTGTGAAGTCGAAAGATTGATGCGAAGCATTCTTTAAAACTTGGCATTGGCGGCCGATGACCAGAAATAAGAAATTCGTTGTCAACCAGCCAATTCGGAAGATGACTATGATCGACAACATATTGAACAACAAGTTTACCGACTTCACGTGCTTGTTCAACACATTTTGTTGGAACTTCGAGTACGGTATCGATTAAATCATCGGCTTGATCGTATAAATTACTGTGCGATAAACGATTAGGATTCCGTAGATTATTATTCGGTTCTACATCATTGCTTATCGATGGTTCACTCTAGAAATAAAGTTTACTTAATTTGATCTTGATTAAATTGCTTATGTATTCTGATCGATAGATATTACAATTAATTACTTATGATTGCACGTTAGAGAAGTAGAATAGTAGCATTTTATTTCGAACGTAACAAGCAAATACATGACATTTGGCATTACTCATTATATTAATATTAAGGTACGGTCACTATGGATCATAAGCAAGAAAAGAATATTTTTCCATATAAGTCAAATTTTTATGTTAAGAAAAAATGTGAGGAATGTTATTCTTCAATTATTACTAATAATTCAAATATTGTTATTATCATCATCATGGATGAACCTAGAATTATTATTAAATTAAATTTCGTATGTTTTCGCTTAAAATCGTTCTATTCTGTTCTGTTTTTAAGTATATATTGTTATTGTTGTTATTGATTCTTACCCGCCGACGACGTAATGATCTGTGTCGAATTGATTGTTCATGTGAATCTCGATCATTAAATGGAATGGTATCTGATAATAATTGTTCTTTGAGCTTTTTATATGAATAATCCATAAAAAAGATTTAGTTCTTTTTTTTTACGAATGAATTCTGAAAATAATTCTAGATAGTACATATAGAAATATATATATATCCAAACATTTAATCAATTTAAAAAAAAATATGAACAACATTAAACAGATAGACTAAGAAAAACAAATCTCATGATTATATTTATATGGACACAATAAGAATAAAGTAAAAAATACTACTGTTGCGGTTGCAATGGATAACCATTCATAATTGATCCATTCTTCAAAGGTCTTAATATCGGATGATGTGAGTAAACATTTGCTACTTGTTGTTTCGGATCAACTATTGGTTGTGGTAAAAATGATAATGGATTTAAATAATCTATAAGAAATAGAATGCTGTTCTTTATTTGTTTCGTTATGCATTTAATTGACATACTCGGCATTTGTGGTGACGGTCGCCCACGTGGCATTTGACTGGGATACTGACCTGATCCACCCTGAGCAGCTGATGATTGTGTCATATAACCGAGATAGGCAGAAAATGCTGATTGGTTTTGTGGTGATGGAAAACTAGGTGCACCATTTCGAGCAGCGGCTTGAGTCGCCGAAGACGAATATGCTGAACCGGGACTTAATGGTCCTAAATATAATATCAAAAATTGTTCTTTAATTAGAAACAAGAAGAAGTTAAGTTTACTTGTACGCATTGAAGGATTAAGTGATGTACGTGATGATTTATTTGATGGTGATGAATAGATATGAGACGAAGCCGGACTACGTGGCCGTTTTGAACTAAGATTTGCTGTTGTTGTTGTTGGAATAAATGAAGTTGGTTGAGATGGTTGAGGTGGCGGTGGTTTATATGCCAATAAACGATGAGATTGTTGTGCGGATAAGTAATGTTGCGGATGATGGGCATATGATGCCATTTGGAGGTCTTTATAATAGATAAGAAAACGTTTATTGATATTTATAAGAACCAAAAATTTTCCTGGTGTATTTTACTCGGTGAATAAAGACTTGTCCATGATGGCTCTTTTGCTACAGTCTGTTGGGAATGTTTTCGTCGGTCTTCTTCGGTCAATGCTCGTTTTAATAGATTACACTGTTCATATTTTTGTTGCTCTAGATCAACTAGGACTCGTTGTAATTCAAGAATATCTTTTGCATTATCTTCTAACTGAACCTTTGATGATGATAGTGCTTTCGCCTACAATAAACACATTGAAATAATGATATTATTAATATTTATCTTTAGTTTACACTCTCATGCAATGTTCAACACTCGAAAAATCGTATTAGAAATGCTTTGGACGTCACTCACAGAAACAGATCATGTTAGATATTTGTTCGCATTACTATCAGAAAAACAAAAAGTAGATTGGTGGTCAGAAAAGAATAATACAGACACACTGCGTTAGAAAGATATTCACCAGACAGCTAACAATGTTATTACTAAGCTGTCGTTGACATACCAGAGATTTCTATCTACATACCAATGAAGCTTTGCACTTCGATGACTGTATAGCCTTGAAGAGATCGTTTTTTCTTATTTATAACATAATCTTTGCTCAGTTCGATGGTTGTGATTTTCTTTCGCAAAGGTCAAAAAACTTCTTTTCTTTTTACTGACTGTGACTGTGTGCATCGACTATTTTTTACAGTTGTCAAATTGATCTATACTACTGGAAACATTGTCTATTTGCCAAGTAAATTATAAAAGTACACTAACAATAGCGCGTTTCATGTTTAGTCAGTTACATAAAAAGTACTTTAATTTCGATAAAGACGAATGCTACGCAAACGACTTAATAAGAAATACTAACCCGTAAAAAAAAAGCACTTCATTAATATCTTTTCAATGGAATATAGAAAGCTGTAGCTTCTGTTCGGAATTCCCATCACCGAATCAGATGCACACATCAATCATATCGAACCGAATTCCAACCATATAACTTCCTATTTTAAATGGTAACATGTTACCTGACGATACATACGTGGTTGAAGAAATGAAAGAACTAATTTCAACTGCCTCATCACAATTGCCGAATCATAACTCTTTCCCGGCAATGACTCATTTATGAAAATATATTATATGATAAATAGATTTACATTTCTATCAAGATTAAATATCAACACAGATGCGATAGAATGGCAAAAGAATTGAATTAATTATAAATGCAATTTTTCTACAGCATTCAAGACGAATGATTCACTTATGAATCATACTGCATCGCCATAGTGAAATGACTTCAAGCAGTTTCAATGATCTCGAGCACATAATCAACACCATGCGATGATTCAAAGCAGCGGTAGTTCGATGATTAGCCTTTCGGATAGATTCGAACCGTTATTCCTAGTAGATTTAACCGATAATTGTTCTTCAACTAGCAATCCTTTAATGTTTCTAATGCGCGTCGCAGTATGTCGGTGGTAGTACAACATAGAAATCGCTTCCTGTGGTTTACTCAAGACCAATGCCAGAGAATTTATGCCAACGAGGGAAAAGCTAATTAATCTTTATCGTCACGAGTTTTTGTTTTACAAAAAGTTTTTCAGATTAAAAATTCATGCAAATCTCTATAGAACTACTGTAATGCTTCACTCCAGATATATCATATATATATATATATATATTTGAGAATAAAGTTAAAAATATCCTCAGAACAAAAAAAGAAACCTTTTCTGCACGTCTTCTTTGCTTATCAGCTTCGTTGGCGTCTGCTTCTTCTTTTTTCTTTTGTCGTTCGCGTAGAACATGTCGTTTTAATGCATCATGCATTTCTCTTGATAACCTTGGACGTTCAATATGTAGAGCAGGCATGTTTCGCTATACTTGTGAAAATAGTCTGAAAAATAATAAATAAATTTTCTCAATATCTGGCTCTTCATATGAAAAAGCAGCAAGGAAAGGATGGGGGCGAATCACACGTAGAAAAAAAACAAATTATGTCAACAAAAAAATAGTAATAATAGTAGTAATAAATAAAAACAGGTGAGTACAATTGTTCGTTTCGTTTTTCGCTAAGTATGTTTACACGTAGAATTTGGAAGCATGAACAAACACAGGATTCAATTATCGAAAAGCCAATAGCAAATTATGAAAATAATCATAAACTTGTGGTACAATGGCACTAATACTTGAATCAATCAAATCTTTCAAATAGCTGATTGCTTTTTCATCATCAAGGTCAAGTCGAAATTTATCGAGTAGCTAGAAGAGAAATTATTTTTTTATGTTATAGATATTTTCGTTCTTTTTCTTTCCTAATTACTTTTTTAACTGTTTTATCACGTTCTAATGCAATGTCAGGAATATTAGCATCGAGCATCAAAGAAAATAGATTGGCAAATACATTTGCATGTCTAGAAAACAATTAAAAGGCATTTTGATTGATATTAAAAAAAAAGGAAGACGAAGCAAAGAAATTTACTTTCGAAGAATAATAAAGGCAGTGAAACAATGCCGTAAGAAGTCAAGAAAGCGTTTATCATCTAACATTTCCATCATATCTTTTGAAACGCGCATCGCTTGTGGCAATGGTTTTGGATCACGACCCATAATAAAACCGAAGTCAATATGAAATAATTGGCCACTATCTCGCAATAATAAATTATCTAGATGTCGATCACCAACACCCAATAGATACGTGACTACACAGTAGCCAGCTATAGAAAGAAAATAAACAGGCGAAACGAAGTTATTTGTGTCCGAATAAATGTAAAAGTATGCATTCATTTACCACAACTTTTAACATAAGCATCCATAACTTCATGGGGAATACCAGTTTCATTTAGAGTTGTATCTTCACTATTTGTAACAGTTGTTTTACTTTGTAGATATTGTCGAATCGTACGTTTAGGTTCGAGAACGTTTCGTAATGGCTGAGAATCAATGAATTGCACAAAACCTGTAATAAAATATAAACTAATAAAACGCCTCTTTTTTCTTCCTCTCCTAAGGTCAGCAGAGCGCTTTCGTGCCTTCAGCTTATCAGTATACAACGTTCTGTATGCAAATATTACTTGTGATAAAATATCACGAGTTGTCATAAGTTTAAAAAAACAAATTTTAAAGGATCCGGAAGAAAAAAAGTGCGCCTCTATTTTTATATAATCAGATATAGATTATTTACGCTTTCTGTAAGCTCTTTTTTTAATGCTCTCTTCATTCTATGTCTAAATCATGGTAGCTCTTAATTAAAGAAAAAAGAAAAATCGCAATAGCCACGGGCGTAACACAAAAATATGACTCTTTTGATAGCGGAAACCTTTGATGACTCGCACTAGTCAATGTAGTACCTTTAAATTAAATCAGATAACTAGATGGTCGCTGTAAGTCATCCCTTGAAATATTATGAATGGTTTTTATTATACTATAGAAAGGCTTTTTCTTTGCATAGTAAATTGATATGTAATTGATGGCTGTATTATAAAATGATATTTACCATATTTTAAACTTGTTGATAGCACTTTATAAGGCGTCAATTTTAGATCAATATTTTCTTTTCGAAGGATCTAAAAGAAAAGAAAATATAAGATTCGATGATTATTTTTATTTAATTGATGCTTGTTTATTATTTCGAATGAGAAATCATCTAATTCAATATTTAATCAATGCTAACAGGTCTTTTTCTGCTTCTCAAAAACAAAAAAACATATTTTCTTACTCGATCGATTAACATGATTATTTGTAGAATAAGTTGATCCTGCCGAAGATCGTCGCCATTTTTAAATATAATCGGATATTCTTCACCATCTACTGTTTCACATACGAATAGAAATGGTAACTTAGCACTCTAAGATATAAAGATTATCAATCAATAGGAATCAAGTGTTTCTTTTTGTTTTCAGTGAAAATACTTTGAATATCTTTATTTTATCGGGAATAATTCGTCGAATTCGAATTTCTGGGTCAAGTGGTAACGGAATTGGATCAAAATTAAGAAAATTAAATCTCACTGGTGAATCATCGCCAGCTAACAATAGACTTCGTAGTTTTTCTTCCTAAAGAAAGTCAACGAATAAAAGTTCGGCAAATTTGAATCGTTACGACAAACCTTAACTTTAGCTGGACCTTGTACACGTTTGACTATGTTTGTTAATTCGACAAGTTTATCAACAAATTTCTTTTGTGCTTCGATTGATAAACGTACTTGTTGAGTTTGTTCATTTGTCTATATTTATTTAAAAATTTGATTGAATTATGAATATCTCGATAAAGTTATAAGACAAAACATTCTTTCGGCCGATCGGAATTTTTATATAAACCCGAATGTGTCTCGTTTAGAAGTAAAAGAAAAAGATTTTAATAGTTCATCATCTGTTAAGGAAGTCTAGATAAGAGACACAGGAAAGAGGCCACATATTTTCTGGGCTTTCAGGCACTTAGTATTATTATTTTTGTGCCTCTGGAAACGATTAAAGATTATCTTTTGTAAACAATCATCCAATAAGAAAGATGTGAGTACATAAAATTCAGAACTAGTGAGAAGGCTCAGTCCGAAAATTGGATATTAACTTGAACATGGTGTGCGGATATTCTCCATGTGACGCAGTATTATTCCGCAGATTACACTTTGACCTTACAAAGAATAAAAAGCGAGGTTATTGGCTCTCGGGCGAAAATGTCAACGTATTATATTCTTTTAATTTATTTGTCAGTCTGAACTTTTGTCTAGTTCCTATTGTGCTAAACCATCTTACCGTTTTGAGCGTCATGCTAAGTCGTTTAACAAATGCTTGATACATTTCACTGGTTGCTTTATCCTTTGATGAAATATTATTCTCACATTCAACAAATGCATACCTATATTTTTGCTTGAAGAAAATTCATATTTAACTAAGAGAAAAATAACAAACCAAAATAAATAATTTGCAATTGTTGGTTTTTCACATGCACGTTGAATAAGAAATGTTGCTAAATCCACCTAGAAAAGCAACAGAACAAAATTATAGTTTCTTTTGTTATTCTCTCAGATCAGAATATTACTTCTGGTGTTGAAAGTTTTGTTAGATCGCTGCACGCTGAATCTGATTGTCCAATCGCATTAGCAAAACTCTCATAAGTGCCATTTGAACTAAAAAATAAAAACATGTTGATCGGATTATTTCTTTTCTCTCAAAAAAATCTTACGATAACAAACCTATTCTGTTCTTCGTCTACTGAATCTACCATAGAAGTATTATTTATATCAAAGCGTTCGTATCGAAGAGCTTGAACTAATTGCAAAAGATATAAAAGAAGATCCTGCATAAAACACAAGAAAAAAAAACATGTTCATAACTAAAATAAAAAAATGAATAATTTCTGTTTTACTTCATCCGGTGCTTGTCGAAGTCTTGAAACTGCGTACGAGCGAACTTTCGGATGATTGTAAGTAGGACCCAATAGTTCGAGAGCGTCTTCTGTATCCATAGTAACCCATTGGTGTAATAGATCAAGTGCTTGTTTAACCTGTTCTTCTGTTTCCCATTGAACACATTGAAGAAATTTTGCAAGTGCTTTTTTATATTGTGATAGAAAGAATCGATACTTCCATACTAAACTTTGATCTTGTGGGGATATAAATTGTGCCGGTGCATACGCTACTATTCGCATAAGTGCATCTCGTTCTTGAGACGTTGGTTTTAAATCTTTATCTAATGCTTTACGAGCGCTACGCGATAATTTTAAATGTTTGCTTTCGACAATATTTTCCTATGAATTCAAAAATTAGCAAAAATTAAAATATCATTAGATGAATTTACTAGGTCAAGTTCGGGATCATAGACAGCAAGATCCGTGTATCCAATTGGATAATTGAGTACATCATCACATTTCTAAAATCAAAAAACGACGTTTTAAAAAAGGCGAGAAAAAAATATAGTTTTCTCAATACCGGCTCAAAATAAAGTACAATACATTCATTATCGTTTATCATCGTTCGAGCGAATTCAATCATTAATAACATTGATTTTGAAGTTGAACGTTCTTTATCTAAACATGTTCGAGTTTTTGCCAATACCAATTGATCAAGCCATTCTTGATTTATCGTATGACCATCACATTGAGTTTTAATCACCTAGAAAAGAAAACAATTTGACATATCTATCTAATAAAAATTGAGTTCATACTTTTGCTATCCGACTTAACTCATCTAACATTGGATATGCACTATCATCGTTCCATGTAATATTTAAAGGTTTAGATGTGATTTGTTTGCGATTGTATTGAAGATTACTTGTCGTTATAACCGGTGCAGAAGCAATTGGTTTTATTTTTTGATTGGTATTATTACTAAGAATTTGTTCATTATTTGATATCGCATCATTTTTACCAGGCGTCGAAGAATTAAATTTAACATCGGGTGGTACATTTGGCCAAAGTTTTAAATCATAAATACCTTGTCGAAATGTTCTAAAAAATTTAATTTTAGATTTTATAGACATATTTATCATTCAAAAATCTTACCCATCGCTGTCAAACAATGGTATAATTGTACTTCCAATAATACGAATCTCAGTTGGCGATATCATTTCGTGTATTGATAGCGCGAGTATTGCATGTCGTGGTAAATCACAATATCGTAACGGTAATGTTAACCATTCGTTCCAACTTAAGAGAAACTTATTTATTAAAAAGAATAAAAATTTAAAATCCCTGTATTTTACCTCCATTTCTCAGTAAATGATTTAAATGATGATTGAACAGGCATACAAAGTGATTGACCATCGGAAAACACTTGACAAAGAACATAAGGTTCGCTACGTTTTGAATCTTTGAAAGTACGAATCAATGACGAAGTATTAGAAAAAAAGATATCATTATTAGGCTGTTGCTGTTGATGCTGCTGTTCTTGTTGAGTTCGTTCGCCGTCAACAGAATTACTGTCAAAAATAAATAGAAGTAAAATACTAAATGCGTAATAAATAATCTTACATTTTTATTTGTATACGATCTTTTAGTTCATGACTGAAAACAAAATGAAATTTTTCGGATGCCGCTAACATTGGTTTGACTAGATCATCTAGGATACTAGAAAACACGTTTGGAAAGTAGATTATATGGCGTGTTTAAAAACAGAAACAGATGAGTAAGTCAATAGGGTTATGAGATATCACCACATGACTTGCCGTAGGATTGACTGTAGCGATATGCTGATGTGAAAAAAAAATTAGATTGGTTGATCTCTGAGAACCAATTATTGGCATTGTTTATAGGAAAGAAGGATTTTTGAAAATAAAAAAAACAGTAGTAATTTCGAATGCAACAATACTTCTACTATGAAAAAATATTTTTTAATTGGTCATTTGAAAAGAGCAAATAGGAGAAAAATATTCTTTTGCGGATGATTAATATAGTGAATAATTCGAAAACGCGTGTTCCTTTGTACTTTGTATGTGGCGTTGGCTATGTAAGGCATCGATATAGAAAAAGCAATTTATTTACTATTAATATCTAGATTGAAAGATAATTAGACTATACGTACCACTTAGATGAAGACATAAACGGTAATCAATAGTATAGATTTCTATACTAATAATACTGTATAAGGTAGAAAAAGAATTTGGACTGTATTGAGAAATTGGAAAGTTTCTTTTCTATGATGAACTAAATGTATTGTCTTGTGATACGAAGCACTGTGGTTTTCTCTTTTTCCTTGTATGCATATGTTCATTGAAAGAAGTGTTGCTTAAATAATCTATTCAGATAATTAGTAATAACTTTGTGTTTATCTTCATTTGTCTTTTTCTGACAACTCAGGTCCATCAATCTTATGAAATCTGACAAAAATCTTATGCGTCTTATAAAATCTTACAATAAGATCATAAAGTCTGAGTCATCGTATAAAAATCTGACAAAACCCGATAAAATCTTACATCACGAATCAGGCTTTATGTTTCTCGGAAAATTTTATGCGTTCTTATAAGAATCTTACTAGATCTGACGAAATCGTGCAAGGATCTTACAGTAAGATTATATCACCTGGATAACGCTCTTAGCAGAGAATTCATTTTGTTAACGAAAAATATAGGGCCTCAAGTTTCTATTTGAAAACCTTGAAGAAAAGTATTAAGCCACCGGTAAATAAAATATTTTCAAGATCAAACTGATTCAAAAGAAAGCTATATTTGTAGACAATTAAAAATATATAGAGAATAAAAACTATCATTGATACAAAAAGAAATGTTTTATCGACGATACTCGTCATTATTATTCTTATTTCGCAAGGTAATATACATCTATCGATTTTAGATGTCATTGACAAGTGTTTTCTCAATAATATTTATATCGTGCTTGTGCTATAATATTCATCTAGTACAAACGCGACGTGTAAGTTCTGTGAATTCACATTAACATGTCTATGTGTCGTCTTGATGCTGAGAATCCTGTATTTCGGGCACCATTGCTTTTCACCTTCAGTATTACTTTTCTATGCTTCTTCATATATATTCTACATGTTAATTTGATTCGGGTACTAACTTGATTTTGTGAATGCCGATTGATTATTAAAGGGTCTGTTTTTTTTCTTGGAACTTTCTCCATTTTAGGCAAAGCATGGCGTGCGTGAAATCAGTGCTAAACAATACCAGTGTTTTTCAATATCAGAGAATTCCAATGACTTTCGTAATAGTTTACTTCGGCCTTTATTAATTCAAAGGGTGTCTGGTACATCAGGAAATGCACAAGCTAGACAATTTATTTTATCAAAATTACGATCACTTAATATGTGGGATATTGAACTTGACACATTTGACGAGAGGACACCAGTAAAACTCGAAAATGTGGTTTTGTTTTCAATAATGATGATTTTGTATTCTAGGATGGGAATGTTGAATTCACGAATATAATAGCTACACTTGATCCACGAGCAACTCGTCGTCTTGTTCTTGCTTGTCATTATGATTCAAAAAAACTGCCAAATTTTGTTGGTGCTACAGATAGTGCAGTGCCTTGCGCTATGTTACTTGATATAGCAATTAGTCTTCAAAACCAATTAAATCAGATAAAACAAAATGTAAGATAAAATGAAACGGGAGTGAAAAAAACCGAAATTACGTTGCTTTTTGGTATTTTATTTTAGAGAGGAAATCCAACGTTACAATTGATATTTTTTGATGGCGAAGAAGCTGTTCGAGATTGGACGAAGTCCGATTCACTCTATGGATCAAGGTAATTGAAGTTTAGCTTTACTTCTGTACCGTTAATACCCATTAGCATGACAATGTCGAAAAGAGTGAAACATGAACGGTCTTTTACAGATGAAATCTACATTTCATAGTTATACATCTTTCTGCCGTGATGGATGAATGATCCATTCAAAAGTCAACTAAGATATTTGCAAGAGAAGATTCTCGACTGGTAGATTTTATGTAGGGCTTAATGAATTATAAATATCTTGAAAAACGTTTGACAGCATTATCTTACTATTACTGAAATATGATATTTTCAAGGGGGAAAAGCGCGACTTCCGTACTTCAAAGTACGATGGATGTACGGATGTCGCGCTTTTTCCCTCTCGAATATTTGCCACTCCCATGTCGTGAGTTTTTCTGAAGAGCACCATGAAAATTAATTTTCGAGTATTGCTGAGATCAATGTTTGGATATGAATATCGAAAAATCTGAAATGTTTTCGATTTGTTTGTACATGGGTAATCCTGCCGCGATAAATTAATGGTGAGAAATTTAATTTCTTGATGTTTCTGATGGCAATTTAATGAGGAACACAAGATATTAGCAACAAAAAACCAATACTTCCTAGTCTTCTCACAGTACTGATAGTTCGTTAAAGTCAAAAATATACATTTACTTCCGACTCGTAAAAAATGTATCGATTTAAGATATTCCTTCGTTTGTGAGGTACTGATCTTATCTTCAACTTACATACCAATCCTATTAGCCAAGTAAATTTGAATGATGAATGGTGCGTTACGTTACGTTTATATAAGCTTTCAAGTGTTTCTATGAAAAATTTTTTCACAATGAAATTCTTTGTTGTAGACATTTAGCAAATAAAATGCGTTCTACAAATGTTCCAGGACAACAAAATCTAAATCAAATTGATGCAATGGTTCGTACAATTTAAGTTTTAATTTTATTATTATTAATTCTATTTTGTAGGATATGTTCATTTTACTTGATTTAATCGGCGATAAAAGTGTACAGTTTCAAAATTTCTTTGATCGAACGACAGGAAAATATTACAGTCGATTACGAGATATTGGTCAGTTGTTTAGAAAAAAAGAACAAAATGAAATAATAGTTTTATATTATTTATATAGAAAGTGGACTTTTTCGTTCTTACAATAACAATGCATATAAACGAACAGTATTTTCAGCGGGCGTCAGCGGTAGCTTTATTGAAGATGATCACGTACCATTTTTACATTTAGGTAATTCTGAAAACAAGTGGCAAAGCTTCTTTGTTTTAAAACTATTTTATTTAGATGTTCCAATTCTTCATTTAATTTCTGTGCCATTCCCAAGCACATGGCATAGAGATACCGACAATGAAGAGAATCTCGACTTTCCATCAATTACCCACCTTCGGAATGTAATGAAAATATTTGTTATTGAATATCTTCACTTAGATCCTCAAATATGTTAACCTCCGGAATTTCTTTTATGAATTATTTTTGAAAACGAGCGAATGCTTGATTAGAAACGAACAGTGATAGTCTTGTTTGTTTTTCTGTGATTAATATAAGCAATTACGTTGAGTTTTTCTTTATCTATGCGATGCATAAATAAAATAAAACTTTTCGACATCTTGACGTCAATTAAAATTGAATGCCACCAATGAAAAAATGTATAACGAATCAATAATCAATATTGGATATAATCAACGAACAGAAATTGTGCCGCCACGTTTGACATTTTAAATTACAGTATGAATCATCAGAAATTTCTACATGTTTACATCAACAAAAATTATGCATTTGAATAAACATGATGGAAAATGCGTTGGACGAGAAAAGAGGCAAGCAGTAATTAATCATCTTTGTTTCATATTGTGATGATTTGATTGCGCGTGACCGACAACAACAATAGCAAGGATATATCGCTTTGATACGGAAAGCGCCTGTTCGTATTCTCAAAGTTTATCATCATTAATCATGTGATTGATAAGAATAACAACACAGATTTATGCGAGCAGAGTCATTGGAAGAATTTAACAAAATAACTGAGCGAATTATTGTTAAAACTTTTGAGACTTGCTATTTATCAAAAAAATAGTAGACCCGAAATTATTTTCGATCGAATCAAGAAATGGAACAAGTTCCAGTCATGTGTCAACCATGTTCAAATCATAGAATGATAATAGACCGAGTTACGATCGAATCGGTGATGGTGTGAGTGTATATTAATAATACATGATGCAGCTGTTTTTCAACAAAGAATAACTATTATATGGCGCACATCTGTTGGAATTCGCAAGGCTTCTAATTTTAGCTGCATAGATAAATGCATATCAGATAATTTCTCTAGCAGAAAACATAAGCTGTATCGGATCCATTGTATATGAACGCACTGTCTGAATAAAAAATTCATTTATTTAATTCAAAATATTTCCTAGATTTTTCACATGGATATCGCGAGGTCGAAAAGAAAAGAATCTATTTAAAGCTTTATATCGGCTGTAGATTTTTCATAGCTGAGGTGCTTCCATTTGATTATGATTCTCGTTATCAGGACAAAGTTTTTGTCGAAGTGAATCAATGACATGTTGTGAAAATTGTAGCCGATTTTCTTCAATGAATTTCAATACACAACGATCAGCATCAGTAATTATGAATGGATGTTTGAATAGTTCTACGTGAGCACCAATATAAAAATCATTGGGTCCATAATACATTGGTGCATCGGGATGACTATCTTGAAAAAAGATTATAATTGGAAAAATAATTTTAAAATGTTACAAGAAAAACCTGGTTTCGGTATTCGGATACGTTCAAGAAATTTCCTCGTTAAACAACCGTATCCATCCAATGGTTTTTCATAAACAGAAATAAGATCGTCGGCAAGTCGATAAACAATAAGAAATTTTCTTTGGCAATCTCCATCCTACATACAAAAGCAAATTATTCAATCTTTCTTGTGTGTTTAGTTTTTACCATCACAGCTTCATAACGTAAAACTCGATTTTCATTTTCCAGTAATTTAATACGATCTTTTTTCGCTGGTTTCGGTAGAAGACTTTTTACATTTTGTATAGTATCTTCTGGTTTACCGAACATAATATGTGGTGGTACAGGAGGTAATTGAACGGGTGGTTTCTTTTTTTTTTGAGTGTCAATATCAATTGGAGTAAAATCAATTTGACCAAAATGTTGATGATAGAAACTTTTTGTAAATATATCACAATCATAAAGAAAAAAAATCCGGTTAAATATTGTCACATGACGACCAATAGCGAAATCTTCGAGTGTAAAATAACATATTTTTTCTTGCTCATGTTTATTGACAAATAGATTTACGAAGGATTCTACTTGCGAAAAAGAAAATTTTCCTAGGCAGAAGATCAATTTTTATTTACTGATATTATAGGTTGAATCTTTCGGTACTATTTGTCGATGAAGATAGACTCCTATTGGATCATAACCATCATTATCCCGATGAACTTCTCGTATTTCAATAGTATTATCAACTAAATAAAGCTAAAAAACACAAATATTTGTCTTCGAAAACAAGTATGAATTACATGAATAACAAATTTTCTCAAAATATCACGTTTTTGGTCGTGATCATCAATTATAGCATAGAATCGGAGAACTTTTCCATCCATACTAAGGATTTTTCTATTGCTAATTATCGGTTGTTTTGCTAATCGGTCTGGTAAAATCTCTTTTAAATCACTATGATGCGTGCGCTGTTTTTCAGATTCATTTTTCTCCATTAATTTTAATGTATACGGATCCGATGGAATCAATTCGGGACATTGTAATTCAATGCCTTCGCTTTCAAGCCATTCCTATAGAATTACGAATGTTTAAAATTCAAGTAAATAAAAACGTTATACTCTAGTAAATTGATCACAAGCACATAGTCGATAGACAGTCCCGTAAATAGCTAAATTTTGTCCAAGATTTAAATCGCGCCAATTGTAGGGTTCATTTTGATCATTTTTAGATATTCGATGGCGACGAATACGCATACCCTTGATTAAAACTAATGATCATTTCTTCGAAAAAAAACAAATATCAATAGAAAATAATACTTGAACAAGTGCACTATTCTTATAGGGAATTTCATAAATAGCTATAGTATCATCTTCGAGATAATAATAGACAGTCACGCGTCGTATACGATGGGATTCAAGTGGACTGCCGTAAATTGTTTGTTTGAAATAACCATAAAATCTAAGTACCTATAATCGATTTCTTTTGTTTTTTTGTTCGAAAAGCAATCAATTGCAAATACTTTTTTATCGTAATGAACACTAGCTGGCACAAATTTTCGATATCCTTGTACTTTTACTTTCCCATAGATAAGTTCCGGTTGAAAATTATTTAAAATTTCACGTTCATCTTCAGTTAATTCAACATTTGGTTTATGGGTTTGACCAATGCCCAATCGAGGTAATCGAACAATTCTATGACCATTTTTAAAAGATAATGTTCGTGGCACTATAAAATTAGTACGCTAAAGTACAATATCATAATTCTTAGATCGATCCGTTTTTCCTACGTACCGTTACATCAGAAAAACGATTACCAGGCAATAACGGTAATTCGTTCATTATTTAAGTTTAAGATAAATAAAATTCTGTTTATACGCGCCATTCTATTTATAATGAATAAATTCGATAAGGACATCAGATTCGAAAAAGAAAGAAGAAGAAAATTGTCATATACGCATATGTACATAAACACTCGAGATAATACACTATGATAGATCATTAAGAGCGAAAAAAAGATGGGCCTGACCGGGGATCGAACCCGGAACCTCTCGCACCCAAAGCGAGAATCATACCACTAGACCATCAGGCCACGTTACTAACACTTTTCTACATTCCTTAAGAGTCGACCATAGAGATTTATCTTAGGCAAAATAAGCAAGAATATTAGTAAAAAAAGACAAAATAATTCACTATAAAATATAATTATAGATGAATATATCAGCGTAAATACAATTACGAGAATATTTTCTAATTTACATATTCTTAAAAGTGCTTCTTTGATAAATAAATGACGAAAGAATATCTGTGATGTTTTTCATATTGAAAGTAAATATTTAAAAAGGTATTTCTATTTAGTAAGACAATGATTCATTTCATTTCATTTCATTGAAAATAAAAATATGCTTATCATAACAGAATAATATTTATGAAGTTGGCGGCATTTTTTCTTGCTTTTATGTATTATTACTTTTAAGTTTTCATTGTCATCGTAAGGATTTTTTCACTTGGCAAATATTTATCTAGATTTCACACTTAATTATTTAGGCAATACGAACTGAAGTTTATATTCACGATGAGAATAAGTCAAGTACAACAAAGAAATCAATGGGCAATAAAATAATTGTTCTACGTTGATCCCATAGAAGAATTCTCGATCATAAATCAATTCAACTGAGGAGAGCAATGAGCTCTATTATTCTCTCTGAATCATACATCATAAAAAGAAGCAGCTTAGAACAATGTTTTGAAGTTTAACCCTTGCTGTCCTAGATTTGTGTGTGCACTCATTAATTCGTTCATTATCGTGTTTTTTTTCTTCGGTTATATACATAAATATTCTAGTAAGACGACAATAGATGCATAAGTCACATGTACATACATATATAGAAAAAGACTTAAACAAACAAACATAAAATACACGCAGTCTCTTATCTCTCCATAATCTATTGAGTCAAAAAAACACACATTATACAAAAAAACATGACGCTATAAGTAGAATATTTCTGCTTGATATTTTCCGTCGTTTTCGAAAACTCTCATGCACTTTGGTGCTCACGTATCTGCCATAGTTTTTGATCGTCGTACAAAACACACAAAAAGACGCTAGACAAAATAAGAAAAACAATAGAAATTTACACGTATAGCAAACGAGGAAAAAAGAACTCTAAAAAATAATATTATAAATATATTTATATTTATATATATATATATATATGTATATATATGAATGAGGAAGTTAGCTTGGAGGTAAAAGATACGTTCGCTAATATACAGCACTATATTCAAAAAGAAGAAGAAGACAAGGAATCGGACTGGAAAAGAAAACGAGACCTAATTCTAATCTAGCTTTGGCATTGAGTATCATATAAAGATAAGAAATCATTTGACTTTGACAATGCATTGCTGATTACTAAATAAATCACGTTTGTCTAATAATTGTGCGTGTTGATCCATAACAAATGAATCAAGATTTGTATCATCAACATTAGGTGTAACTGTTGTTGATGGTAATGAATAGAGCACCTTCCATTTGCGTTTTTTATTCTGTTTAACAGCAGATGATCGTTGAGACATATTCGGTGGCTTATTATTATTATTATTATTATTATTGCTATTATTTTGTCCTAATGGTCTCTTCGTTTGTGGTGAAGCTTTTGGCGATGAAATTAAAGATAAATTGGACTGCTGCTTATCATGTACATTGTCGACGACGACAAAGTCCGATTCATCTTCATCATCGATAACAATCCATGAATCGCTCATTTGTTTTGGTACTGATTTAAAAGAACCATTACTAGCAGCCATCAATGAATTCAATTGATGAGTAAAAAAGATACGAAGTCAAAAAAAACAACAGAATAATCTAAAAGCATAAAGAAAAATGCAAGCATGACATAACAAACATATGTTGTTTTCTTCTATTTTTGTGTCATCCCGTGCAGTCTCTTGCTGTCGAAGTATTAAGATGTATGTTGCCCTTTCAACACGCAAATAGAACGACAATAACAAAGCAACAACAACTTGTTTTTTTTGACGATCTATCATTTTTCCTTGTCTCTTACTTGAAAAAAATACAAACGAGTATTTTCTCCTGACGCAAGCAACCGAAGACAAATCTCAAGGACGATTTTTTTCTCTCTCGCGCGCGCACTCTTAAATAGAAATAAAACACACATTCTATGTAAACTAGTTGCAAATAAGTAAATACTTCATGTAAGAAATTATGGAAAAGTGACCATGACAACATAACACACAGAGAAATTTTTTCCCGAATAATTAAAATGGGCGATCTATGATTCCTGGGTTCTCTCATTTTTTTCTCTTCCTCTCTTCCTCTGTCTGTCAGTCGTAGCCTAGAACAGCAGAAGAAGAAAAGTGGTCGCTAAAGATTTTTTTTCCTTTTTGCTCGGCACATACGTACACTTTGACAATCACTGCGGCTGCTGTCGTTCGTAGTAGTGATGGCGAGAGGACTATGCGGGAGAAACAGAGAAGAAAAACTAAGCAAGAAAAAGCAAAACTGCCGAGCAAGCATATGTTTCGTCGTCGTCGTCGTCTCTCTGTACGCAGACGTCGTATATTTATATATCAGAAGTATGTTGAGGCGCACGTCTTGTTCACGAGAGTACAAAGCGTTATTAATGACGGACGAAGAATCTGCGCACACGGGCAATGCATGTAACATCAATGTGATTGTGAAGGGAAAAAGAGAGAACAAAAAAAAAAGAAAAGAAAAGAAGCCAATGACGAGACGAATCACTTTTTATTTCATAACGAAGAAAAGAACGGAAAAAGGCAAACAAACATGATTAAAGTAGCACTACTGTTTCTATTTGGAATAATGATCCATGGCTTCTCGAGCACATTCAGGTCCAATGTTGAACAGAGGATGCGTGTTACGCTAGAAAAAATAGGAAACAGAATTATCATCAATAGGATAATTTTAAGGCCTTTTTTGTAGTTGCTACTTACCAATGCATTTGAATCACCGCCACATACTGCCGTTGTTTGATCTTGCCCATCATCTTGAAATAAACTTAGGCCACTTAAACAATAGCATGTATGATAAAAATCAGTACTAATAAATAAAAAAGAAACAAATATGAATATATAGACAAAAACAACAACGATGATTGTACCGTGCTTCAGTTTTAGGTCGATCAGTAAAGCCGCCTGTTTTTTCTCCCTGACAACAGAGTAGGACATATTCCTGAGCAGCAACTATATAAAGAAGAAAAAATATTGATAAAGAAATTTTTTTTTCTGTTAAACTAAACAATTTACTCGTATCAAAAAGTGGTTGATGATTTGTAATATTTTTATCTAAAATTTCAAATAAGTCTGTATGAATATAAACAAAAAAAAGTAAAAATCTATTATGATAACCTTGACTATCTCGTACGGGCTTCTTTCGTTGAACAGCTTGAATCAGAGGCAAAATTGCGCCAACCCAAAATGAATAACATCCATCGACGAGTTTATTTGTACGGCCTTGAAAACCACCCTCGAAGGCCATTTGTCGATTAACAGCCCATCTCTATTTTAAAATAGTCTTAGCAAATTCAAACTTTTATAATTTTCTTTTCGTACAAGTAAACTGTCACGATCACAAATCGACTCTCGATCAAGTAATAGAAGTGTAGCATAACCACAAAATGAATATCCGCCATGTGCTTCAGCTCCTGGACATGCACCAAAACCTCCTTCATAAGTTTGACAACTAAAATTAACTATCTGTTTTTATTAATTAAAATAAATTAGTTCATTATACTTTGAAACCCATTCAGCAGTATTTTCAAAAAGATCTGGTAAATCTTCTAATTGACATAGAGTAGCAACACTTGCAGCACAATAGGTTGCGCTGAAATATTGAAAAGAATCATTTCAAGAATTGATTTTCTTTATTTTCTCACCGAATATCTGATTCGCCATCGACATGAAGACTAAAGCTTCCATTCGACGGATCGCGAATTGTTTTTAACCATGCCGATAACTTTTCACTGAAAAAATTCCAATTGAAATTTACTCAAAAAAATCAAATGTTAACTATACCGATTGATGACCTTATAGGCTTTTTTATTTCTTAACAAGCAAAGAGCATTAACTGCTGCATAAGTTGGAGCCAAATGAGCTACTTGACCAGGACCACCTTAAAGAGAATAATTTATGTAGATAATCAATTGTTTATGCAAATGAAACAACAATAAATATTTATTTTAGAAATATTGCTATGATCAAAACATATTTTTATTGTAAAAAAATATACATAGGGCGTTTTTTAGTTTACCTGAGTAGGAGAAAAATATATATCTTCAATACGAACAAAACAAATCAAATAATAATCCGAGAGGCTTGCAAGTTGTTTTACGTACAAAAACATAAAATCGAGAAATATTCTTTTCGAGATCGAGCACATGACCATATGTCATCAAGAAGTTTTTTCTTTAAAGAACGGTATCTCGTTTCTAATGGGAACGAATTTTTTTATCAATTTCCGTTTCCGCAATGCTTTCAAAATTCCTTTGACGATTACATCTGTCAGCAGCGCGTTCTACAATAATTCTATGGTCTTTAATCAAAAATGAAACTATCTTTAGAGTTACATATCAGGAGAAAAATCAATTATTATTTATACGTCGTAATTTATCAGCGTCAAATTAAGTGCACTATTTCTTTCATCAAGCGAACCATTGAAAAGAAAAGACGAATCAATCATCAACGTCGATGAAAATTCGAGAGGAGAAAAAAATAATCATGCCCCTATATTATAACATAATCTGAATATGAGTTCTTTCAACGATAAGATTGACACATAAAATAAAATTTATGATAATTGAATAATATGCGAAGTTTCTCTTTTACTTAGTAAACATTGCGAAGTCTTTGAATGAATGCCGACTTTCATTACTCTAAAGTATAACATCGGGTTGACTTCGACATTTTTATTTCGTTTGAAAGAGCAAAGTTTGAAGAGTTTATAATACAAAAGATAATCATTTTCGGCAACGACCAATTTTAATGTTGTTGCCATTTCCCTCTACGACACTCTTAATAGGCTCATTTATATAAATCTTTCTGAAACAGGACAAAGACATTTGAATGGCAGCAAATCGAGAATTGTGTCCTGGATTCACAAAAGTAGAATTAACTTTGAGTTCTATCCCGGATAGTCATTCTTCCATATCATACCTCCGAATCCGCCATCAGGATGTTGGCATCGATGTAAAAAGTTGCAAATACTAAAATAATTTAATATAATATTTTGTAAAATTTCTTTTTCAATGAAAATTACTCATCGATGAAATCATTCGATAATGTTTCATTAAGTAAATAAAGAGATTGTGTTATCCAATAGACAAGCCATGGACGACTAGCATCAAGTGACTAATGATGAAAATTTAGAATGAAATTTGCTTTTGATATATTAACTATAGTACTTCAAAGCTTGATGACAAATGTATAAGACCTTTGAGTAAATATGTAAGATGTTTATCACGAAGAAGCGGCGGATCTCTGAAAAATGTAAAAAGGTTAATCTCGTTGTTTGAATAATATCTATCGTTCGTTATACTTCAATCCAACACTTGCTTGTTGATGAAGAAATCTCTGAAAATTATTTTCAACAGCCTCTTCACATTCACGTTGCTGCCTATTAGTCGTTGTATCGACATTTCGAGTTCTATTTGCATTGGTAAAAAAACCCTTTTGATTAATGCGAAGTGACATATCTAAAATATGTTCGCAGGAAATAAGTTCAGTAACAGAAATAAAAATTTATCTGCTAATCCACTATATATAAACGTATGCGAAAAAAGAAAAATACAATGTTAGGCATTTTTCGAACACACTTTAAGTCCTCTTTGTACTTGTGGTCGATCTTCAAGCAATGCTAACCATTTTTCAATATTTGGATACGCATTATCATCTAATTTATTTTGATAGCGTGTTATAAAAAATCGCACCCACGGAAATGTAGCCATATCTACAACTGTATAATCGTTACCAGTGATAAACGCATTTGTTGTATTTAATTGTGTATCAAGTACTTTTAATAAACGTTTAGCTTCATTTAAATAACGATTTTTTGCATAGGCAATATCTTCTTTTGCTGCTCGATGAAAATGATTAGCTTGTCCGAACATAGGTCCAATGCCACTCATTTGCCACATAAGCCATTCAATTGTTGTATATCGTTGATGTGTCCCCGTTGGAGCGAGAAATTTGCCGGTCTTATCAGCAAGATAAATTAAAATTGCACCACTCTCAAATAAAGTTATCGGCTGTTTATCATTACCAATCGGCTGACGATCAACAAGAACAGGAATTTTTGAATTTGGATTTAATTTTTTAAACCAATCCTCTATCAAATTAGGTTTTTTTAAATGTTTGATATTAAAATCGAATTGGAACTATTCTTTTCATTTACCGTATTGAATATCTTGACTTATATCAATAAAATGTGCATCATATTCTAATCCTAATTCTTCAAGTGCAATACCAATTTTTTGTCCATTGGGCGTATCTAAAGAATATAATTGATATGTTTTATCGCCTACTGGTGGAGATTTTGTTGTTGCAATAAACCGTTTAATTTTTGTTGTTCTATAAACGCCAACTAATAATGATCGAAACATGAATCTCAAAATACTGAAAATAAAAACAATGAGATATCTTCATTTTATTGATATATGAAATTCAAAGGATCGAGTTTCTTTTTAAATTCTTCAAATGCTGTTACAGGTAATTGGCATTGAAAATTTCGACAGAGAAAAATTTTAGTTTCTTCAGTAATTTCATTGATAAAAGATTTTAATTGTTTATTGTATTGAAGAAGTTTATGATTCGTTTTGTTCAAATGAATTACTGTCACATTTGGAATGAATAATGTTTGAATATATTGAATAATACGTTGAACTTCTTCTTTATTTGATGATTGAATTATAATTTCATTCATTCCGTGACTATATATTTCGAAACAACGAATTAATGATGGCATAGTCATTGGCAATTTATTTAATCGACGAGCATACGATTTAAATAACAATCGAAGACGATTATCAAACGAGGTGTCATCAAAATAATGTCCTAGACGAAGTAGATTCAATGCAGCTATTCCATTGGGTGATGGTTCAGCTCCATCATGATCTAAATAACGAAAATGAATATTATTCAAAGAGAAAATAAAACCTATTTGTGTACCTTCGGAGAGATTTAAAATGATTGAAGAATCTTTGCCGTCTGTACTTAAATATAGGTTTTTAGTTGAATCCCAAAAATGTTCATCTTGTTGTTTTTGTAATTCATAAGCAAATATCAGAAGTTCTTCATCGAAATTAGCTTCATACAAATCAATACACGCTTGTACAACATAAGCATAATCATCCAAAAATCCGTTTACTTTTGATTCTCTATAGAAAAAAAAACCATAGGCTGACTGTTCTAGCTTAAAAAAAATTAGTTGACGTAATGATTTATTAGAATTCAATATAAATATCCTCATCGTATTGAGCACTGAGACGCCTTCACCACGAATAGCAAGGTATCAATATACGTGAAATAATCCTATTAGCTGAGTGGAATGTGAATTTGTATTTCCGTCAAGATGCAAAACAATTCCACATTGACTAATCGGAGAAGGCAAGATCACCATCTCATAATGAGAACAATCAAGATAAAGCTTAATCTAGCCTTGAAAATGCTATTAAGAGATACGCTCTAATCTTTGACATTTGAACACGAAACTAACTAATATAATGATACTTGTTTTTAAGATCTTTCAAATGGTGAACGTTAAAAAATATAACTTTCGTTTTTTACATAAAGAATCTTACGTATATTCAATTTGATTTGTGCTATGATCAATATAGCATGCGCGTAGAAGTCGTTTTGATGGTAAATCGAACAAATGAGTACGAATGAAAGCAATAGTTTGTTCAGCTAGTCGAGTATATTTAGGTTCTTGAAGTACACAAGCAGCACGAGCTAAACCACTTATCATAAGACCATTCCATGAAGCAAGAAATTTTTCGTCACGATGTGGTCTTGGTCGATTTTCATTACGATAAGCAAGAAGAACTTCATGACATTTAGTTAAAATTTCTTTTACTTGATTTATATTTTCAAGTTTAAATTTTTCAACCACAGATTGAAGATCACCATTTGTTATTAGAACATTTTGATCTTTTAATTCATCATGAGGATCCTATCAAATTTAAATTCAAGTAAAAGTAACTCTTTAATTTATCTTACTTGCATTGGATCAACATTTCCATTTTTCTCACATTGATAATAATAACAAAAAATATCAGCATGTTTTTCAGGTAAAATTTTATATATTTCATCATAATTCCAAACATAAAATGCACCTAAACATGATGAACAATCTATTTTCCTATACGTTGATTTGAAAAAATTTTCTGACCTTCTTTTTTCTTCTTATCACTTTCCTTCGACAATGAATCAGCATCTTCAGCACAATAAAAACCTCCATGTTTACTATGACGTAAATCACGTTCAACATACGAAATCAAATCTCGTAATGTTTGACCAATGAGCTCATCTTTGGTGATCTTCGATGAGGAAAAAAAGCAAACCAATTTAAATATCAATTGATAAAGATCTGTTAGGTATTTTTTACAGCATATGTATCAGCTAGTGATACAGCAAGTTGTCCTTGGTCGTAAAGCATTTTTTCAAAATGTGGTACATGCCATCGATCATCGGTTGAATATCGATGAAACCCTTTGCCTATTTGATCATTGATACCACCTATAGAAATATTGAAGAGATTTTTATTTGTAAAATAAAAATCTCTTCAATAATAACCTAAGGACATTTTCTGTAATGTCATTTTGGTAATATCAATAGCCAATTGAGAAGTATCCACTTTTCCATTGGCTTGATGATTTAAGGCAGCATGTGTTAATAGAAAATTAAAATTCACTAGAGAATTAATAAATAGAATTTTCGATAACGAACGACGATTACACTTACCCGGTTGAGGAAATTTCGGATGTGTGCCGAAACCTCCATTATCATCATCAAAATCATTGGCAAAATAAGCAAAACATGTTTGTATACTGGTATTGGACGGTAAATCAGGATCAGTTTCAGTACTAGCAGCTTGTTTTTCAATAGCTTTTGTTAATTTTTCAATTGCATCTTTACTTTCATCAATAATATCATTTGATTTTGTTGACCATACTTCATTGAGATTGAGTAAAATTTCTTTAAAACCAGGGCGATTATATCGACGATCACTACTCGGTGGAAAGTATGTTCCAGCAAAAAATGGTTGTAATTGTGGAGTAAGCCAAACTGATAATGGCCAGCCACCACCACCTTGTGTTGCCTATAGAAGTGAGAAACAGGTAATAAAGTCGAATTATAAAAGAAAATAACTACTTGAAAATATGTCATATAGACTCGGTCAACATCAGGGCGTTCTTCTCGGTCGACTTTAATCGCTATGAAGTGATCATTAAGTATTTTTGCAATTTCATTATTTTCAAAAGATTCATGTTCCATAACGTGACACCAATGGCAAGTACTATAACCAACTAGAGAAGAGGTTGGCGTTTAGTTATAGAATAGAACAATTTTGATTTACTCGAAAGAAATATCGGTTTATTTTCGGTACGTGACTTTTCAAATGCTTCTCGACTCCACGGATACCTGAAATAAGAAGATTGCTATATTTCTTTTTGTCAGCATTAGTTTTTCGTTTACCAATTAACTGGATTATGAGCATGTTGTTGCAAATACGATGATTTTTCGTTTGCCAATCGATTAATAAAACGTTGTTGCTCTTGTTGAGCCATATTAACAATCAAACGAATTAGAGAGAAACTAAAACAGCGAAACAATTTTGCTTTGTTCAAAATAATCGTTATTCGTTAATTCTGAACTTCTACGCAATATAGACACACCCATTGCCTTTACAGAATGTTCTGCATGCTGCGAGCAAAGCAATCGAAGGGCATGGAGTGCATTCATCTTGAAAAAGAATTATTTTTCATACTTGTGAGAACGATAAAGATTGATCATTGATTAATACTGTAATTTTTCTTCTAGATCGTAATAGGTCCATCTATTAACGCACCATGGATTTTTTTTACTGTATCTATTATATTTATTCGTTCTCTCGTTCACCACTCGTAAAGTACAAAAACCAATGAAAATTAATATTGCGCGATATATAGATAGATAGATAGATGCATGGCTAATGTCCATGCTGTCAACTAGAGTCCTCTTTGAAAGATGCCAATATATATAAACTAGATGTAAAATGCATTAGTATTTGAATACAAAAAAATTCTAAAATCATTTTCGAAACAAACTACGATGCTTATTTATTTTAAATTGGTTTTGAATAACGAAAAATTATAAAAACAATTTTCATATGTTGAAATAAAGTGTTTATCTTTTGGGTATGTGACACGTCTTAGATCAAGAAACTGATATCATTTTACTATTCTTATTTATTTACAACTCTGTAATAAAATAAATGGTTTAATACATAAATTTACGGTTTTTCTTTGAATAAGTGATTAGTATCAAAGCTGTCATTCTTTATTTCTTTTCTCATCTAAGAAGAAATATCAATCAACATAGAAAAATACACAATGGAGAAAAAAAACAGCCTATTGTTATATGTTATAAATTTAATTTGCATCATTAGATAGCATGAATATTTTATTTTCTTCTCAAAATGAGTATACAACTACACTCAGTTTAACTCTGGGCCCAAAAGTCAATGACAGTTGCTGCCGCCATATGTGGTTGTAACATTGCGACATAGGCAACATGATCTGCATGATCAATATATGTATCACGATCTTGTTCACTAGTAAATGTCAATATAAAGCAATGTGTATAACCATGATCCAAATTTTCCTTGCTAATATTTGTACCCCATTCAAATCCTTTGACTTGAGAAACTTTGACTGTTGCCAATGAACGGAATTCATTTTCAAGTTTTGCTACATCTTCCGCGGATGTACCTTCATTGAATTTAAACAAGACAACGTGACGAAGTTCTTTATGAGAAGCCATACGATTTAAGAAGTTATCAAAGTTGTCGAAGGATAAGAATGAAAAAGACACCAGTTGAATTTTTTTTTCTTTCTACTCTCTTCGTCTTGGCATTGGTTATTACTTCAAACCTTTCATAAGAGGAATCATTGTTATACGATCGAACAGAGCGACAGCTGCCGTAAATTAATTTAAACTGACATGTTTGAAATTAAAGATTGTGAAAACTTCATGTATCAAACGTTACTTTCTCAGTTAGTAGGCGAACATGATAACTTAGAAAAAGTAAATGGGTGTGGGTGTGGTTGCAGTATGTTTTCCTCTCATAACTTATTCACACCCACACCCAGGGGCCGTGCGAAGGACCAAATATTAGGGGGGAGGGTGTAAAGGCGTATTTAAAGTGAAATCTTGCAGTAAAAACGTAAAATGGAGAAAAAGCTGCTCTTTTCGCTTGAGAAAAATCAAAAATTTTAATTATTCGGAGGGTGTACACCCCTCCTCATCCCGCTGGTCGCGTGGTCCCTGCCCACACCTTTCATACATTCAGACAAAAAATGTCACTTCTATATTTTATTTGACGGCTTTTCAACTATTCTTTTCCTATTTATGCACTAATAATTACACATCAGCTCATGTTATTTAACGAAAATTTCTGTGAACGAGTCGAAGCTATGAGTAATTCATGACATTCAACTCAATCTACAGTCGCTTAATATTCGATGCATACTCCTAATAGCGACGAAGAATCAAGGAAGTGTTCTCTTTCGAACAATACAACAGAATATGCTCTACACGAAGAGGTACTCACAATATATTGATCTAAACTGTAGACTACCTTTTGGTTCACTTCCCAACCCAGGTCGACTGATCCGACATCGGATCCGATATCGATTCCTCGACCCGGAATCTAACGATAATTCTGTAAGATCTGACAGGATCTGATAAAATCCTATTGGATTCCAGTCAGATCGGATGGGTTCCGGTAGATGCCTACTGTCGGATTGCTCGACCTGGGAAGACCCGCTATCTATCACTTATTATTAACTTGTTTTTTGGTACAGCTATATGATTATCATAGCCTTTTTTTACTAATAAAAGTGGATGACAGTTATCGAAAACACATATAAATATATATATTACAGGAATTATTTGAATCGCGAATCATTCACGAGCGACATCTTGTGGCATATATCTGTATATACGCATAAGATCCCAGGTCAATCAAAACGGACCACCGTAAACCGGCGTAACATTACCGTAAACGGTCGTTTGGCATCGTATTCCATCGTAAAACGGCCGTTTTAAGTCGTATTAAGGCGTTTTAACAGCCCAGGTTGATCAAAACGGACTCGTTTATCGTCTGTTTATCGACGGTAAACGATGTCAAAACGGTATGTTTACGGCAGTAAATAGGCCATATTTTCCCGTAATACCTGGCACAGTAATACGGCATCGTAAACGGGACTAAATTTTCATGGTTTACGGCTGTTTGTGCTCCGTACTCTCATGATCATGCGGTCCGTATTACTGCGCCAGATATTACGGTAAACTTTCGCCTGGAAAATAGTCGTAAAGTGACCGTCAATGGCCGTATACGGACCGTACTGTTCGACCTGGGAGGGGCAGTATTACGGCCATACACGGACATAGTATATGACCCGTAAAACCTCGTAAAGCCGGCGTAATATTATCATATTCTATAGAACATACGGCCGTATTACTGCCCTTGTTATACGGGGAAAATACGGCACGTAAAACGGGCCGTATTTGTATTGTATATACGACCGTTTACTGATCGTTTTCTTCGATCGGGGATTACTCTATTCAACTAATTATATGATTTTGAGAGTTCAAACAAAGAGAACGTTATCTGCATCAGTGTTTCTAATGGCAAGTGTACACAGCGGAAGCAGAATGTAAAAACAGCTGCATTGGTGAAAATTCAAGTTGCCGTACAGTTGGTTTAAAAGTCAAAGTGCGCAGTGTATATTTTGTAGGAAAGTTTGTAAATCGTTTTTTTAGTTCAAATATGATGCCTAAACTATGAGTAGATAGTGATTCATGTTTTTCTCTTTTCCAAGTATTCGCTGGATAGCTTCCTTTGTCTAACTGTCTAGTTTTTTTCGTTTTCAGTACTTATGAGATAGCTGCAGAAAAAAACTGGAATTGGCAATAATAAATTAGAATTTAATGAAAATGAATCTTTTTACAATTTAAAATCTATGTATTTACTTGATAAAATACTTCATATTATTTTTTAGATCATTGTATATCGTTTTACAAAATTTCACCGATTCGATTCGATTCAATTAATTTGCTAAAAAGTAAAGATTCTTGATGAATTGTTAATTCATAAAACATATCGATTTTATTATGTCGTATCTCATAGACTACTACTACTGTAAACGAGAGCAGAACTCATCAAGATTCTTTGATCTACTGCTTATAGAATAATTGGATAGAACTATTTCTAAGTTCTTATCTGATTGATTCTGTGCTGGTCTACTATGATCTAGCTGTAGCCGTTGGATGACAGATGATTGTGTCGATCCCTATATATTTATTATTAAGAATTACAAAATTCTTCCAATGTAATTATTTCAGGTGTAAGTTAAGAATACGAAATGCAGTGCGAAATTGGAAAATCAAGAATTCAATCGACACGAAATTACTAATAGTTGCTTTTTCGGTAATGCATGAAACGCATTCGCCTAAAATAAGCTTTTACGGCATTGTTGAGATTATTTTCCTAAGGATATTTTCGGAAATCTTAATTTCAGAACAAAATCCATCGAATAAAGAAAAGAATTGAACAATCAGATATGACTAAATCAATTACTACGAGAATTCCCTATTTTCAGACTTGTTGTTCTTGAGATTGCAACGAAATAACTGAACGTTTTTTATCCGTACGTCGTAAAACTAAAAAAGGGAAGGTCCGGAACGACTACATAAATGTAGTGCTTTGCACTGCATTACTTAAATGAATATAGATCGAATGAAATCTGTCTAATTTGAAGTTTTTATTAAATAAAATCGATCTGACTCATGTTCACAGGTTATCTATCAAGTTACAGTTCTAGAAATTTTTCAAGGGCCAACGACACTATGTGTAAACAAACAATTGGTTTAATAGTAAGTTAGGTTTTTGTATAAAACCGACAGGTGGAAGTGTTATACTTATAGATTCACTTTCATATCTTAGCATACTTCCCCTTAATTTACCATATCTATATCTATCTATTGCTTATTTGTGTCACTAGTTGTAGTGCTTCTTAGCTCACATAACCTATGATTTTTGTAATGCCTGTCTTCTCCGACTTCTTCCTCATGTACATTTATATAAATAAATAAATAAATATATATATGACTGTCTGTTCTAGAAAATGCCAGCGCTTACCATAGGTTTTTACTGAAGCTGCTATTATTCGCATGTTTAATGATTTGCATGTTCATTAAGCAGAATGTTCTCTATTTTATGAAGATAGCCTGTTATTTTTTTCTGTTTAGAACAATGATTTTGGTGCTCAAATTAGAGATGTCTTAGAAAGAATTAGAACACTGGAACACAAAGTAACGAGACTCGAACACGACAAAAGACAGGTAAATATAATGTATTTAAAATACATAAAACAGTGGGAAGGTATTCCTATCTCCTAGATGTGTGTTAAACTTTTATACTCAAGAGCTATTTTTATTTTAGCTGAAGAGAATAGTAAACGCGCACAAAGAAGAACAATTCAATCTCAAGGACGAACAATTAGTTCGTTGAACCAAAAGGTAGATCGAATGAAACAAAACTTCATGTATCGTCGTACACATATGTATTTTGTTGGAATCTGAAGAAGAAGACGAAGAAGATTCCTTGCAATAGATAAAATAATTATTATGTACATAATCAACAACAAAACGTTTTTCTTACTCGGTAGGTAATTTTCATTCAATTTATTGTTTCAATTTCCGTTTTTCTATTTATTTACAGATTCAATTATTAAATTTTCCAGAAAAAAAACAAATAAAAAAAGTTATTGAAAAAAATAAAAAAAATTGCTATTGGAAAACACAAAAACACTGTTATTGGAAAACATTAAAAAAATCTACGAGCATTAGACCAATGCTATTCCCAGGTGAACTAATCCGACATCGGATTCCATCGGATCTCTTAGGACCCAACATTTTGACAAAAACCCGATGGATTCCTGGTTGAGGAATCGCTGTCGGATCCGACGGACAAAATCAATTTTCTTAATCGGGAGTGAATAAGCATCTGATGCCATCGAAATGCAAGGGCTGTATGCTAGCGTCGGTTTCCGTTGAATTCCGACACAGGTTTTTCTCGGATTCCAGAGGCAGGGATCCGACTGTAAATCCGTTTCCAGGAATCCAACGGAATTTCATCGGTTTTATTATAACATTTTAATGATATCGGATAGGATTCCTCTGGGATCTTATCGGATCCTACTATCGGAATGATTCTTCTGGGTTGTTGTGTCTGTTTCCTTGTATTTTTTTTGTAAAGTAGAAGTATATTTGAAATAAATGTAATGGTCGTGATCATCTCCAATCAAGAAAAATTTTAAAAATCTATACATATTATCATGATAGAATGAAATATAATTGAACTGAGTATAATCAAACAATGTTTATCATTCTAGTCAAATATAAATGAAAATAATTTTGATAATTTATTTTTAGATATACTCTATTTGCGATGCTGTCTCGAGTGATTATCGTTGTCAAGAAAAGAAAAGAAATTGGCTTTTAGTTTTGCTAAATGAACTTCTTCATCAGTTCGATGATATACTCAGTTGTACGGAAAATTTAATAAATCTTCAACCAATGCTTGCTAAAATTTTAGAAATTCATAATAGAACTATAATATTTCGTGAACTATTGCTCATAAAGATTTATTTGATAGAGTTCAGTATATTATGTTAATTGTTTCAGTATAATCCATTACAATTTTCGAATTAAAATCTTCTTCAAAAGTGATTTTGAGAAATATAAAATAGCTTCGTAGCTTGTTAACAATCTAAAGTAGTCAATGGAATGCTCCATCATATAAAAGCAATGATAAAATAACAAATTATTTTGTTTCATCATTTATTAAATAAAAACATAACTGTGACGAAGCAATTCGAGTTTATATTGCAGATGATGAAAAGTAGAAGTAAATTATTTTGATTTTAACTTTTAATTGACGTGTTGTTGACAGAGGTTTTATTAAACAATTTTCATTTATTAAAATCAAATCATTTGTTTTGAGAACAAATAAAAGATATTCTTTATAGACTTTGTCCAAAACATCAAGTTACCTTCGAAATTGCTTTAATGTTGACGATCATTTATTTTCCATCTATCACTGGATCTTTGTATTAGGTACTTATACGACGGTTTACACTATTTACTTGATATGGACTTACTTGACGTTGATTATTTTTCAATTTTTATTTTCTTTTAGCGAAAAAATAGAATTTTCGTTTTTGAGGATTTCCTTTCTGTTGATTGCTTGAACGAAAAGAAATCAAAAATGCAAATGAGTAGTTATTGCGAACATGATAATCTTTTAAAAAGCTGTGTATAAAGGTACCGATACACAATTCTGTTATCGTACAGGTTTGATAAATGCCAGCTACATTTATTGAATCTACTCATGACTAACGATACTTTTGTTATCTCGGTTATCAATATTTTCGGATCACAGACCCATCAAATATTTCAAAAAAGAAAATTCTAGTGAACTATATTTTAATTGTAACTGTTTTATTTAATTTAAAAAGAAAAGAGTTAATCAATATAATATTAAATATGAAACGAGAATTTCTATTCTTCTAAGAAATAAATTTTACTATTAAAAACGTTCTCTAGGAGAAAACCAACATTGATTAGCCCACATAGGGTTAGTTTGTACATCTTTAACTAAAAATTTCAGTTGAGAAAAAATATAACCAAATGAATCATTTAAATAAATAATTTTATCAGATAAATGTGCATAATTCTGTTCAATAAAACGAGATTTTTCTTCAATTTCTATCCATTGTTGATTATTAACATAAAAATATTCTCGTAATTTTTCAATTGCTGATGGACATTTTAAATAAATAATAAAAGGTAATATATTTGAATATTTTAATGAATCAAGTCCTTCGGATAATAAATTAAAACTGAAGACATTATATATAAATTTCTTTAAACTAATAGAAATAAATTAAGCTTGAAGTTTGTTAGAATTTTTTGTCTTGTTGATTGTTTTGCAATTGATTTATTAAATTTATCTTTAAATTTCTTTTTTGAATGACTTGTTTCTTTATCTAATAAACATTTAACAATTTTTGAAACGATTTACTTGAAATTGTTTTGATGGTATAAGACCAGATAATTGTTGTTTCTTATTATTTTGATCATTTTCCATAATAAAAGCTTGTCACCATGATAAACTATATTTAATATTGAATCTTGTTCGAAAGAAAGACCTAATCTCGACATGGAATATACATATCATCATATGGATCATAGGAAAATAAAGCACGGACATACGGCAGATGAATCGTCTAAAATTAAATTAAGTAAAAATAAAAGAGAAAAAAATGACAGAAAGAGAGAACGCACCTTGATTATGATAAAAGGATTGATTATGCATACCATGATTCATTGCATCGGATGGTAAAAGTAGAAATGAAATAGTTCCATGAAGTGAATCAATTAATTAATTAGAAAGAGTAATTGCAAAACTTTCTGTAAGTATTAACCATCTTTTTAATTTCTACGAATAGTTGAAATCTAAACCTTGCAGTAATATGTATTCGGGCACATTTTTCCATAGAAAAATAGGTTTCTAATGAATAGGAAATGATTACTTCATTATTTCAAAAATTGTTTATAATATATAATAAATATTAGTAACATCGATTGTTTGGATTTTATTTTTGATTATAATTTTTCAAATATTACCAACACCTTTCATCAAGGTTCACGTGTTATTTGGTCTAAATTAAAACTAACACTTTCTTTACCTGACTAATATATTCAGTTCATTTTCAATATTCAAGTATTTTATTAGAATCAAGAGCAATCATGTACAGCGCCCCCTATCAAAAACTTTGTTTCTGTCTTGGGGCATAGTTTTCCATTCTCAAGCATTATATATATATATATTGAGAAAAACATCTTCAATAATGAGCATATTATTAGCTGATTGAATCAAATAATCGAACTAAGCTATCGAATAATTGATGAAATCGGATTATCACCCGCAGCGTTAGCCAAAGCCGCCGTAAACAGGCGGTATCTTCAAAAAGAGTGACAATATGCGATATACGAATAATGACTGTTCAAGCATGCACATTTATTTCAATGTCAAACATATGTTTTTCTATCATTGATTAATATTCATCCATAAATGACTCTAAGCTTAGTTCAAAGTTTGACAATTATCGATATATCATTTCCTTTTTTTTTTACATAAAATGCCATTTTAAAATTTTCTTTGAACTTTGATCATCATCGCGTTTCGATCAGTGTAATCTTAGGCTTATTGTATATGATAAATTTTTTTCTTTGTCATTCGACTTTTCACTTTCACCTAAGATCGTTGGATTTTCATTTGTTCTATTGAGACATCGAAAGGTTTTTCGTATAATACAATGATAAATATCATATGATTCTTGTCTGAATAAAAACAATTCTAAGTGCATATTATGTAATTCTATCGTTTTCTATTTGTAAAATAATTCTTTAATGTTTCATATAGATCTTTTGTATAAAATTTCGTGTTGAAGGCTCCTTTAAATTATAAATAAAATAAACAAACGAAAAATGTTGTTAAAGAAGCTATGTTCGTTGTTCTATTTATAGACATTTTTAATCAGATACCTTTGACACTCAGGAGCAATATAACTTAATAAACAAATATTTCACGCCATTCTTTTTTTATCGTATAATCATGAGAATATGTTTAAATTATGTTGTATCATAGAAAGCATTCTTGTAAATATGCCACTTGATAAATGTTGATAGCTGTAGAACAGGTAACTGGAGAAGAAAAGTATATTTGACACATTCTTAAGGTTTACATAAGAAGAAAAGATTAATCTCGCATGTTAAACATTTAAAATTATTCTCCGATGAACGATTCTTGTGAGGAGTAGAACATGTTTGAAAAGAAAACATTGCGAAAATATAATTGAGAATATTTTTCATGTTAAAATAATTTCTTTTGTTTCTGGAATAATTATTTGTCTAATTTTTCATCAACTGATGTGTAATAGAAATAGAACAACAGAAAAGAATTCATTTTTTTCATACTTTCTTATTCGAATTTTTTTCTATTCTCTTCAAGCTGTTCTGTGGTGACGTGTTATCATCAGTAAAATGACATGACAAGAAAAGAAACACATAAGTCAAGCAAATTATTTATGCACTCTCGTCCGACTGTCATGTAAATTTAGCAGAATTCCTTTCCTAGGATGTGATGCGTTTTAAAGATATCTATTATAATCGTTGACATCTGAAAAATTGCCCATAAACACTCGTTATTCAATTTCCACACGTAAAGGTAGAAAGAATAAAATATGCGTTTATAGTTGCGCATATATATATATATATATATATATACGTGCAAATTTGTGTCGCACAATTTCTATTGATATTTTTACATCTAGATGCAGCGTGACAGGAGCTTCTATTTAACGGCCATTCTTCTTATTCTATTTGCGTTATCAACATGGCTTGATGTTAATGGTGTATGGGTTGAACTTCCATTAATTGTCAATCAAGCACCTGAAGGTTGGGCACTACCATCTTACTTAACACTTGCCATTGCATTTAGTAACATTGGACCGTTGTTTATCATGTTATTAAAAGTTTGCTTTAGAGAACGTCTCAATGAACGAATATTTATCTATATTGAAATTTTTGTTGGTATTATATCTTGTGCTTTAATTGCTGAATATTGGAAAACTACACATTTTTTCGCTGGTCGACAACGTTCAGTGATATTGTTAATCTTAGTTTTTTTATTGGGCACGTTGGATACAACATCAACAGTTACCTATGCTGATTATATGAAACGATATGATTCGAAATTACTCAATGCACTTTATCTTGGTGAAAGTCTTACCTCTTTACTTCCATCAGTTTTAGCTACCGTACAAGGTGTAGGCGGCGAACCCATCTGCCGTGAGAATACTACATACCCCGAATATTCTTCACCACGTTTTTCAGTTCAAGTTTATTTTTGGATATTTGTTGGAATTATACTTCTTTCGTTTTTGGCTTTTCTGATACTTGAATTTTCGAATGTTTCAAAACCTCATCGAATAGCCTTACTTCATGATACAACACAACTGCCAACTACATATGAACTTTCAATCCAATTAGAACCAAAATCTGTTTCTGTCATTGTATCATCTTCGATGACAAAGAAGGGTTATTACACTCTTCTGTTTATTGGATTTTCATCAAGTATTGTCCTATTCGGTATTCTGCCATCCATCGGTACATATGCCGTACTGCCTTATTCACAACGTGCTTATTATATTTCAAGTATTATTTTACCAATATCAAATCCACTTTCTGTATTAATCGGTCTTTTCATGCGAAGTATATTAAAATTCACTTCAATATTTATTCTATTTGTATTCGCCGTTCTGGCATCGTTATATGTTATTATTGTGGCTTTTCTAAGTCCATGTCCGCCATTACATGACACGACAGGTGGTGCAATACTAGTTATCGGTTGTTATTTTCTAGCATATTTAATTTTCTACTACGTAAGATTAGTTATTGGCAATCGTATTCGTCAAGAATATCAACGTAATAGTGGATTATTTTGGCTTGGTGCAGCAAGTCAAATGGGTAGTCTCGTAGGAGCGATACCAATGTATATACTTGTGAACATATCTAATTTATTCAAAAGTCGTTATCCTTGTCAAAGTTATTGCATAAATTAAAATAACGTTAGTTGCTGTAGGATTTTTTATGTATTTGAAATCGTTAAAAGTTCCTTTTGGTTAATATATCCTAATTTAGCACGTGTTTTTTGTTTTTATTTTGAAACAAAGACTATCAGTACAAAACGCATAACTAGAATTTTTTGGTATGTTTGAAACTTTTTCGATCAAGCCAAGGATCTGGCCGTGGTATTCGTACAGTTTTAAGTGGTTTATATTTGTCTTGCAATTCACAGTAAGGTTTATTTGCAGCTTTAGCTGCTTCTGTAAACGGAAAGAATGGCGCTTCTAAAATAAAAAGACCATTTTTAAATGAAAGAAATAGATTTTTGTGTTTTTTTCTGCTAACCGACAAGAACTTCATCGCCTTTGATTAATTTCTCCCATAGATAAACTTGACCTCTCTTTCGTCCTAAATGATTATGAATGCCATGCACAGCCATACGTTTCATAATATTAACTCGATGTTTTGATTCGTAGAGAAAAGCTGTTCGTATGGGTTGCATTGGCAATACACTAGTGAGAACATTTTTTGTTGTATGTGTTAACACAGAACTTTTTAATGCAAATAAATTTAGCATTATTATCTTAAATTAAAACAGCAAACAAAAATGAGTTTATTGTTCTATCAAATAACAAAACGTTTGATTTATTTTATTTTTAACTAATAAATATAAACAGGGCCACGTTTTCTAGTCTCGACAATGCCATTAGCTTGCATTAATTCCTCGGCAACAGTCAGTAGTTTAGGCTCAAATGTAACACGTTTAAGTTCAGCATCGATGGTATCGTCAAGACCGGCTAAATAAAAACGACAAAGATAAACATCAATAGAAATAAAAAAAATTTAATTTACGTTTATAGGTAGATTTTTTTGCATAATCACTAGTTTCTTCCCACGCAGGTGATTTAGGAATAATTCGACCAGATCGAGTTGATACACGGACAAGTTCACCTTCAGCTGTATAACGCCATTCGATAGTACACGGTTTACTAAAATGATTAACATATAGTGAGAAAAAAAATATTTAATTAAAAGATATAATTTACCCATCGTATGGATCAATTAATCTAACTTGATGTGGAACGATAAGTGGTTTTTCTTTAGCAGCAATTGAAGTAGCTGCAATAGCGCCACCATTGATTCGTTGAATTTCCTAATTAAAAAAAAAGAAATTCATAAAATATTTTCAATATGAAAAACTCTTTGTATTTACTAAGTTAAGTCCAGATACAAAGACGGCATTGAGTTCACGAATATACGCAGAAATATTGCCTTGCTTGCCTTTATCTTTACCAACCATAACTTCAACCTATTTACATAGATTTTCAAAAATAGAATCATAACAAAAGATAAGATTCTACATACAACATCTCCACGAAAAAAATCCCATGTTTTCAATGGTTCAATAAGTTGCGGACGATGATGTCCTTGTCGTGGATCATTCTTACGTTGAGCAAGATCCGTCCAAGGTGGATCATTTGTATATACCCATGGATCATTATGTTTTATTGTTTTATGTGGTACAATATTCATATTACCCTCTGGAAATATACAAAAAAACAAACACCAATTAATCTATTCTATCTTGCTCGGTGAAGCCTATTTATTACCGATAGCTGTTCCATTGAATTTAACTCGTTCAACATATCGTTTCGGAACATTAAAATAATCGCTCCATCGTAGTATCGGTGTTAACCGAACCATAATATTTCAAATTATCTGAAACTAAAGTTTATCTATCGAATGGCACTGTACTCAGTTTACATAAGCATTCTTTTATTGTTGTTGTTGCTGTTTTCTTTTTTTTTTATATGATCCATCTGTTTGGTAAGCGAGAAAAAATGAACAAAAAAAGAACATGTTTATAATAATATACATTGTCGTAGAAGCAAAAAAACGGGGAGCAGAAAAAGAAAAGAAACACCGAATGAACGAAATATATATATGTATATATACGTATATGTATACAAGCGCGCGTCTTAATTTCCTTCATATACTATGTGTATTTCTATCCACCATGAAAATCACACTTCAAAAACGAACATAATCATCAGTATGAAAAATGCAAATGTAGTCGAAATCATATGAGAAAGTCCTGTGGACAATAATAAAAGCAGCGCAATTATTGGGCTAGTTTGTTTTTAGTGTTAAGAGAAAAGAGACAGTTTACTTGAAAGACACATGTAAAAGGAGAAGAAGAAAAAACGTATATACAAAGCTAATCTAGTTACATACACGCACAGACATAATATGTATATATACATTGTAAAAGAAACCTATCTACGTCGATAGAAAAACTTCGTAGGAGCAACGACCGGGGCAGAAGAATAACTATCGACATGTCGAAGAGTCGATGTTGAACTCGTTGAAGATTCCGTTGATGATGAACGATTTGTTTGATCATAATAGACAGTATCAACATAACGTATATTTCGATTATGATTATTTCCCAATACAAACGATGAATCCGGCGGAGAAGAAATCATAACTGGTATTTTGTGAAAAACTTTTTTCTTATGCGTTGATATTACTGGTGCATAGAAATAATTTTGCATTTGATTATGCTCATTATGAATCAATCGTGACTGAAAAAGAAAAGAGGAGTTATGAAATTAGTTGTTAATAGATAAGAAGCAAATCTGGTTTAAAAAGCAGCAGAGAAAAAAAAGATGTTAATCACATGCATATGTGTTACCTTGTGTTAGCATTGAATCAATCGAAGATTGAATAATAAATGTGCACATGTCGTAGAGTTGGTCGTTCAAAACACAAGAGAAAAGAAAAAAGAATCAAACCCACACACAGATAGCTATATGTTTATGTACAAAACACACACACACACACACACATTCACACAAGCGTGAGCGGTTGATTGTTGGTTTCTGTTTTTTTAATAGGAAATTGCATGTTTTGAAGCAGAACACGCGCGCGTTAACACACAAACGTTCAGAATCGATCATTCTGAACGTCGTTGTCGACATTATCATTGTTGTTTACCGGATATTGTACATGGTTTGTATGGCGAGGAAGTATTGGTGGTTCGGATAATGTTTTACAAAGAGAATGATGAGCAGGTTGATTCGATGCTGTTGACGCCGCGTTGTTGGAGGGTGGCGGACATCTAGCTAAGGGTGAAACTGAAATCTTTAAAGAAAAAAAAAACACAAAAGATGCATTTATTAACATGGAGAGAAAATATATACATACTTGAGATTTTTGTTTAATTATAGACGGTAGTAGTGTGGGTTGCGGAGAATCTGGTTCATTTGAAGTCGGTGTTGGCGGTTTAAGTGGTGCTTGAAGTGGTGGCCATTCGGATGAATCAAGAATATTTGGACGAGTTTGATGATAGATTTTTGCTAATGGTCTATCATTATTATGATCATGGCTTAATTGATTAAATGAAAGTAATGGTAAAGACGATGATAGTATAGATGTATTTGTCGTTGTTAATGTATTATTATTATTCATATTAGTAGTTAATGTAGTTGGAATGATTAATGGCACTCCAGCAGCAGCAGCAGCAGCTGCTTCCATATCACGAGCTACTTTTCGTTCACTTAAACGTCGAAATAGTGAATTATTTTGTGGATGCTTTTTATTTAGATTATTTCCATTACTGTTTGTTGCAGTCAGATTTGTTGAAATACTTGTAGCATTCATTCGATGTTTTTGACAATAGGATTGATGATACGAAGTACTTGTTGGAATCTTTTTATTATCATATTGTTGTTGATAACGAATTTTTTGTTTCGATGGCGAACGACGTCGTCCACCTGTGCGTATTTGCGTTTCTGATCGTGGTATAGCGCGTATTGATAATTTCGGTGAGCCACTTAATATTAATTTAACAACTTCAGGATGTAAAAGACCAGCAACAGGACGTTCATTAACATGCGTTATGACATCGTTAACTCTTAAGCCAGCTTCTGCAGCTGGACCTTCAACAGCAACAACAACGTGTTGTGTTGTATAGTAATCTGTATTTCCATGAAAGACTTTAACAGCACGTAATGTAAAACCAAAACTACGTGGACCACGACGAATAATAATTGGTGGTCGAAGATTATTTGTTATTGAATGAATAGGTGATATAGTTGATGACGAAAATAAATTCTGTTGCTGAGCCTTAAGAGTTGTATCACGTTCAAGTGGTGACACAGCCATATTATGACGTTGAGTATGACGATATGAACGATCATCCTAGAAAAAGCAATAATCATTTTTTTTTTATCTTAGTTTTTTTGTAAATATTCTTACAGGATGGTTGAACCAAATCGGTGGTGGAGATGATGAGGATGATGAAGATGAAAATGATTTTGAAAGTGATCGAGGAAAATTGATCTGCTGCTGGAGCAGCAGTTGTTGATTGTTAAATTTCACCGGTTTATTTGATATTGTTGTTAAATTTGTTTTTGTTGTTAATGATGGTATGAGTGAATTGGATGAAGCCGATTTTTTAAATTCACTTTCGGTTGATATCGAAGCTGTGGGAGTTATTTGAGAGGATGTTAACGAAGTATTTAATTTAATCGATTGAATAAGATCTTGCGATTTTGAATTCGATGATATATTCATAGCTGTGGCTTGTATGGGAAATGTAAATGATTGTTTGGGTTCAAGAGGAGATAGTGTACGAGGATTTCGGATTTTCTTATGATGATGATGCTGATGGTGATGATGACGAGTTTTACTTTTTTGTTGTTGTTGATTATCATCACCACTATCATTGGCATTTTGTTGTTCGAGCAATCGAAGAGACGTTTTTCTTTGTTTGTGTTTTGTTGTTGTTGAAGGAGTACTTGTAGCCATTGGAACTGTTTTCTTCTCATCTACACTCATCGTTGTCACTGTTGGAATTTGTAAAGATGATGATACGGAAGATGATGATGATGAATTTTTTCTTGATAAACATGGATTCGATAGTAGAAGTTTATCGGATGATGTATGTGTACTGGAATTCTTTTTAATCGAGGAAGATTCTGAAGAATTATCATCTGATGAGACAAGTAATGGTTCAAATGTATCCGAACCAAAATTTGATGGAATACAGGAGGGTTGAACTAAAGAAAAAAATAATAATGAGTCATGAAATCCTTGAGAGTTAACATCAATAGAAAATCATCATCTTGAACAGCAAAAGAAAGCTGTTTCAAAATCCATCATCTGATTCCTTGTCCATAAATGATCAAGAACAAATGTTTGTACTTTATCTCAGTTGATGTTCCTTGAAATATACATCATTTTAATGCTTTTTCTTCTAAATTTAAATTTACGAGATTTCCATTTTTCTGGTTTCCGTTGCTGATAGAAAAGTTATGTTTTATTTTGAAATATGATCCGAGATGTAGTAAGCAAAAGTGACTAAAACACCCAGCTTAGGTTTAGGTATCACAGGTTCAGTACTTCATCATTCAATGAAAATAAATATTGAAGCACCTGTTCATGTTTGGTGTGAAGTTTTTTGTTCTGAATTCTATCAAATGATTCGCTTCTCTGCCTAGCCTCCATTTAAATGTGTGAAAATCATCAAGATTTTTAAGTTCACCTTGTATTTTAAATGTTTTGCTCTTATTATGAGTTTATAAAAGTTAGTGACAAGTTATTTCTAAGGTGAATATGGCATTAGTAGAAACCTATTCTTCATTATTTATTGTATTTATCGCATTAGAAATTGAGATTCATTCTTTTCGAACCTTCAAATGAGGACATGAATACAAAACGCTCTTCAGCCGACAGATTTTCAAGTTTGTTAAGTAAATCTTAAAGGCTTCTTTATTTTAAACATTATTTACCTTTCTGACTTGTCTCAACAGGCATTGATTGAGTCATGATAAGTGGCTGAAAACCACTTGGCGAATTAATTCTTATAACATTGTCTGGATGAAAACCTTCTGAACAAGAATTCGCTCTTGATACATCTGTTGATGACATTTCTGATGTTGTTGTATTTGTTGTTGTTGAATCTTGTTGTTGAGTTTTAATTGAATGACGTTGTTTATGATTTCCAGATAATTCTGAAACATATTTCAATGATACGGATGAAAACGACGCAAATAATACGTCCGAATCATTATCCGGTCCTGTTATTTGCGTTTGTTTATTTGTTGTTGACGATAAAATATCGTCGTCCGAATGTTGATAACGATCTTGTCTTGTATCGAAATAAGATGTATCATCCGGCGATTCTAATACTGGTACAAAATCTGCCTTTTCACGTAATAATGTATTCCAATTGATACAAGCACAAAATGGATGCGAACGAATTTCATAGGCTCCACCTAATGTACCTAAACGTTTCGATGGATCATGTTCAAGTAATTGTTCAATTAAACTTTTCGCATCCGGACAAAAGAATTGCTCCGACAAATCATATGTTGATGATGATGATGATGATGATAAATCAATTGTTGATTCATCGAGCATATCAGGCCAATCGATTTGTCCATTGATAACATTGACAAATAATTCGTCAGGTGTATTACCCGTAAATGGTGGTATACCAACTAAAAATTCGTACAATATAATTCCCATACTCCACCAATCGACCGGTTTGCCATAACCTTGTCTTAGAATAACTTCCGGTGCTATATAAGAGGGTGTACCACATATTTGTTTATCATTAAATGCTTTTGTTTCTTTATCAATATGTTTTTCATAGAAATTTGTCGTTAAAGACATTAAACCAATTTTCGATAGACCAAAATCAGTTAATTTTATATGGCCAACAGCTGTTATTAGAAGATTATCGGGCTTAAGATCACGATGTATAATACCATATGAATGAAGATATTCAACAGCTAAGGTTGTTTCCGCGAAATACATTCGAGCAATGTCAATATTTAATGGTCCACCGATATTTTTTAATAGTGTTGCAACATCACCACCTTCAACATATTCCATAACAAGACATAAATGTCTTTTTGTTTCAAATGTACATATAAGTGCAACAACAAATGGATTATCCGTAAATGTCATTATATCACGTTCGACAAACGCTTGTTCAACTTGGTTACGTAGAATGAGATGAGTTTTAGAGATTTTTTTCATAGCATATCGTTCTTGACTTTGACGATGTTTTACTAAATGAACAACACCATAGGCACCATTTGAAATTAATTTTATAATTTCAAAATCATCTTCACATGGTGTTTTTGTTGATAGAGTTTCTTCGATCGGCGGAAATGTTGTGTTAGGTGTTATTGTTAAGTAATTTGAATCGGTTAGCGATTCATTTTCACTTTCCGATACACTCGATTTATGTTCGATTGTATCTGGATGTTCAATATCATTCGATTCATTGACCTAAAATAATATTAAAAAAAACGAATATTAATTCTGATTTCTTTCTTTGTTTGATGTGATTAATGCAAGTCTCTTGAGATGTTCATTTCTCTTTTCAGCATGAGTAAATTATGCTTCCGGCAATGTCTTTTCTTTCTCGCTCGATAGTCAGAGAATAAGAACTGCTATCATCTTGGGGTTCACACAACACACAGAAACAATCTATAGATTGCCTCTAGGCCTTCGTGTAATATACATTCAATATATGACATACATTCGCTGTTACAGCCTTCAGATCACAATCTTAGTTTAATTAATTTAAATAGAAGAAAAAAACATATTCTATAGCAATAATGTCTCTCCTATCTTGACTATCAATCGAATGTCCTTTATTAGCGCAGTTCAATATACATAATATATCATTACCTGTAATGCATCGATAACATCCAGTGGATTTCTTTCAAGATTAAGTTTCGAACAGATATATTTCGGAATATCTTGTTTAATATTTCCGTTGATTTTTGCTTGACATTCGACTTCATCTAATGTACGTAGAAAATCTTCCGGATCGAATTCCAAACATTCAAGTAAACGTGCTGATCTTGCTATTGTCAATAATAATTTTCTTACAACTGTTTGTAAATTTTCAATAGCTTGTGGGCATTTATCTTTTGCATCTAATAATAATCTTTCAAGACTATTTGTCATTTCATTAAAATATGATGTTGTGACTAAACTTTCATGAGATTTTTCTACACAATTTCTTGCTAATTCAACAATTTGATTATGTATAAATCTAGCTGAACCATCCGAACAATAATCATATTTATCCACTGCTTTATATGTGTCAACGAAATTTTGTAAGCGTTCTTCCATTTGTACTTTCGCTTTCGGATAACGTTCTTTATAAACATATGCCATCGGATCCATTTCTTGATCGGACATATTCAACATTTTACAGGGCGACGATGATATATTCGCATCAAGCATTGACATTGATATTGAACGTGATTCTAAACGTTGTAAACTTCCATATAAAAAATCTTCATGCGGACTAATATTCGATAAACTTCCTTCATTTGAATTCGGTAGATTTGTTTGTTGTTTACATGTGCATAAATGTTGTTGGGAATGTTGCTGTTGCTGCTGCTGTTGTTGTTGTTGTTGTTGCTGCTGCTGATGATGATGATGTTGAAGACGTTCGAATGATGAATACTGAGAACTTTCATGAGAATGGCAAGTAATAGGTGTTGTTGTACCATAACCACTTGATGACGGAGCTGATGTTAATGACCATCGACGATTAGAATTGTCATCGAGACTAGCTATTATCGGTTTAAAAGCACTTGTTGATGATGGATTAAATGAATTTGGAATTTTATTTGAATCTTGTGATTCCAATGATGTTGAGCACAGTGTTTGCTGTTGTGGTGATAATTGTTTTCGTAAAGCATATTTTAAATTGATTAGATTTAAACCGGATAGATTCGAACGACGTGAACTTGGTCGACGTAATGGAAATGGATAATAATGTTGTTGTTGTTGTTGTTGTTGTTGTGAGGGTGCTAATTGAAGATTTGTTGAATTCGAATTCGAATTATCATTGTTTGTTGCTGATGATATTCGAGGAGACAATTTTAGGGACGGTGATGCTTGATAGAAAGAATTCATTTGTAGTGAACTTAAATTTGGTTCTGATTGTCCTAAACGAAGACGACGTAAACGTAATAAATGTTGATTTTGTTGATTATGCGAATAAATCTCCGATGTTTGAGAATTATTTATTGATGTTGACATATTATTCGGACAATTTGTTGACGTTGATAATAGTTGACCTTGTGAGACCATCCAACTACGACGACGGAGACGTTCTTCAACGAATTTTTTTGAATTTTGTTCACGATAACGGACTATGTGTTGACCAGAGCCAGTCGATGAACGTTTACGTGACAATGCATGATGCTGTTGATGTTGTGCCTGTTGAAGTGTTGGCACCGGTTCACTAGTTTCGCATTCATCAACATTTAACAAATGAGAATCGATATTTTCATTTGATACTGCTGGTAACAATGATGAATTACAAGTTGAATCTGCGTCTATAAAACAACAAAAAATAAACATGTAAATTGAATATGTTGGTTCGCAGATTGATATATGCAGATAGAATCACGTAGGAACATATAATCCGAATGAAATTCCGTCTATTCTCTTTTCTTTTATAACTGAGTACACGAATCTCGGCACTCGTTGTATACAAATGTTAGTTTGTTTTGAAAGAGCATGTGATGAATAAAACAAAAATTCTGATATATCATAACCATGAATTCAATTTCGATATAGTCAATTAGTCGTCTGCAATTTTACCTGAAACAACAACAAATAATTTCTTTGATTTTTCTTCCACTTCATCTTGCTTTAGAACACTGCTGTTGGTTATTTCTGATGATATTGATTCGCTTGATGTTGAATTCACTACTGAATCCGATGGATTTGTTTCAAGTTGAATTGTTGTATTATGTTGCGAATGACTAGAAGTTGTTTGAGTTTTGTTCTGTTTCTTTGTTGTTATTTGTGTTTCATCATCTTTATTAGATGTTAATGGTGATACAACAAGAGAAGATGATCCTGTCAATGTTGATGTAGTTGCTGGCAATATTGGATGTTGATGAGTCTTATGTTTCGACTTCTGACTGAAGAATTTTCTCATAGTTGACTGATTGTTAGGACAAAAATAAATAATAATAATAACAATTACGGCATATAGAAGTTGCGAATGTTAACGACAAAATACTAGTTATTCTGAATCATATTTTGCTTGTTATTATCAACTGAATATGATACAAACTACAAATGACAGGTAACAGGCGGTCGAGTCTTCTCCAATAATTTTTGATATTGCTTGACTAGATTGCTCGTCGGTTTTTGTCGCATTCTATAACAAGTCGAAAAAAAACGAATAAATATAAATATACTAATTACTTTGACAATAGTTAAATGTGAGACATTGAGGAGAGGGAGAGAAAAACAGAGCGAGAGTAAAATAATAGATAAAAAAAAGATACGTGTACTGATAAGCAATGAGGCGATTGTTACGCGTCATATCATTGACAACACAACCCGCACATATTCATTCTGATATGACAAAAAATTACTAGCAAACGCATAACAATCATCATGTTGCAACGAGCAATAATGATGAACATAGCTTCAAGTGTGATGATTCTATATGCATCGTGTACGTGTAAAAGAAAATTCTCTTTTTCTTACTTGTTCGTTCGTTCGCTCGCATTTACTTTTCAAGTAGTCGTGATGGTGGTTGTTCTCTGCTTCTCTGTTTCTTCTCTCGCCATATACAATAAGAAAAAAAAATCAGCTGTCGCAATTGTGACTAACCATAAATATACAACAGAGAGAAAGAGAGAACGGAAGATCTAGTAGTAGTAAATGGAATGAATCTCGCATTTGCTTTCTTTTGTCTGTATGTTATAATTCAAGCATGTAGGTCATTCTAATGATCAATAGACAGAGTGAAAAAAAAAACATATAGAGTTAACCCTGGTTATCATGAAATTACTTTATCGATGTAGAAGGTTAGAGCGTGCGAAAAAAAAAACGAGCGGAGAAAGGCAGATATGATATACGCGATGCAAAACATCATGGGGATAGAGAAAATATTAGGTGGCCACAGCCGAGAAAAGAGTGTGCATGAATAAGCAAACTACTTGACGTCCACAAATAACGATATTGCACTTGCTCTGAGGAATAAAAAACCTTGAAATACAAATGGAATCAGAAAGTATTGAAAATAGTTGCTTTCACGATCGAGAAAAATCTTTCGTTGAACGATAAAGAATTTACAAGGTCAAGTAGTTGACAATTCAATTGCAAAAAGAAGTATATACATTTGAATGAAGTAACTGAATCATAAGGCTTAGATTGAATTCAATTTTATTTGATCGAATGCATAACAGAAGGGCAACTACCTACGAAAGAAGAATAATTTATCATTTTTATATGTATCGTAAACTTTATCGACAGTTTTTTTACAAACGGAAAAAAATTGGACAACTTTAGTTGTTGTTTTTTTCTTCTTGTTGGAGGAAAAAAGAAGCCTTAGATAGTTCTATTTATTCTAGTAATAAAATTTACCTATTAACTTTTGATTTCAATTTTAATCCTTGAGGAAAGCGTAGAAAACCATACAAGCAATTGCGATACTCGCCATTTATTTAAGAGATTGCGGCTAATAAAAATAAAAGAACTGATTAAAGATGGATCAAAAGAAATCATTATTGCGTCATTTTATTTCTTTGACATTTCTCGATTCTAAAGGATTAAAAATCTTATTATTTTTTTCTTTCCCATGAGCAATATTTTAATATATAATTTCTAAATTACCTTTGATGCGTCGCTGACTGATCATATGCGTCAAATATGTTAATCCAATCGAAAGAACGGAGTAGATTATCAAGCAGTGTCTCTTTTTTTTATAACCTTCATTCATCATTGGAGTCCATGATTTATAAATTACTTTTAGATACTTCCATGAGCGTGTAAGCTTATGAATCGTGTTCTTGTCATATCGATAATAATCATGAGCTACGCTTAAAATCTTATATGCAAGCTATATTTTTTTAATTGAAGAATCTATTGGAACTGCTTAATGTAATTGATCGAAATCAATTTACATTTTTTTCTACTAGTTAATACTCAGTCACACGTTGATGGATATGTACATACTATCTTTTTCTTTTTTTCTCTTCTTAAGCAAAGATACTGTCACGGATAAGCGAATTAATCGTATGAATGCGTCAAGCATATCAGTAAGCAAAAAAAAGTGATAACTAAGAAGAAAAAAGGTGTTTGATAGCGAACGTCTGTCTAAAACAAGGCCATTAGTACTGTGTTTATTTTAGTTTTGGTACTGACGTTATAGGCTTATGGCACTAGACATTAACTCTTTTTTGTTCCCAAGCAATATGTGCATTGAATACAATTATTGACTCATTATTTACATTCATAATAAATTCTTTCTGTACTATTTATATTTTCGGAGGTTTTATACGCGATGTAATGAATCACTATTGACATTTTTCATCTTAATTGTTCGACCGAAAAAGAAAATAGTAGTAATAGATTTTTTTGTTTTACGTCGGGAAAAGAAAAACGCGGGCATATAGATGTGTTGATCAACTGACACATATACGCAGATACATACGTGAGAGTAAATGATGTTGACAGCCTTTTTTTATTGCTAGCTTGATACATCTCTCATCTCAATACTTTTGCCTTGTATAGAAGACTTTTCATAATTGATGCGCATATAATATATTGTGTGTTTATTTTTAGTCTATTCCTTCATTTCAACTAATGTTCCATTTTATTTAACGCACCTCTGTATGAGAGCTTCAGGCATGCAACTATGATATTAATAAGGCGAAGAAGAAGAAGAAAAAAAAATAATATTATTTTCTATACGCTCAGCAAATGTCTTCACCTAGTCGAAAACAACCTTTACAGAAAAATGAAAGAACCGTTGATTTGTTTTTCTACTTATTAAAAGAAGACAAAGATCGTGATACGTACTCGTACAATATTAGACCGATGATGAATCAATCGAGCATTTTTTACAATTCATATCTAAAATTATATAGAGATAAAAAGAAACCATAGGAAAAATATTTATCTATGATATTTGAGGACGTTTACTAGGATAGAGGAAAAAAAGAGAACTATTATTATTATCAATACTAGTGTGCTATGTGTGTTTTATGACGCCGATGACTCATCAAGTTTGTTTCTAATAAAGGACAAATGTCAATATTCGGTATTAAACTTACGTTTATTTTTACCAACAAAAATGAATGATTGGTATTTTTAATGCGATATTAATATCAGTTTGTTTTCTTTTCTGAACAGGTTTGCTGACATTTAAAAAAATAAATAAAATGATGGATGGCGCTGTTTTTGCTATTATGTCAATGGTGTAGAAAAATTGTTTGAGCTTTTTCTTGAAATTTATATTTAAAATATAATTTTCATTAAAATAATATAATTATGGGTTACTACGCAGTTGAATTTCGTTGTTTACGTGTCACTACAATCAACACCTATATCATATGTTACGATTATATATGTAATGTCGCATAAATATTTCTTTTTTTAATTAAAAAAATATATCGATAAATCCAATAAGAAATAGAAATTAAGCATAACAAAAATTCTACTGATGACTGAACACTAGTGACACCAAATGATTATTTGCATTACTAAATATTATCTTAGTTTTTAATATTGAACTTACATGAGAAGACACAAAATTGTGTGTGTATGTGCGCTAAGAATTAATCTTTAATATAATCTCGACGTACATTTATTGCAAAGAATCGTTAATATGATATAAAGCATGCATCGTCGAGTTCATAAAAAAAATGAAGTATTGCATTAAGGCGAGTGAAAATTTTCATTTAGATGATGAATATCTAGTTAATAAAGAATGAACTTGAGGGAAATTCCTGTTTGCAACTCTATAGAATAATCTTGATTAAGACATGTTCAAAGGATTAAGGTTATCTCCGTTTGATTTGTCATTCAAAAGCTGTAATTAATATTGAATGAAGGTAAAAAGAAATCGTGAGCATAATATGAAGAAGAAAAAAAAGAATCTTCAAGACGTTGAGTTTTGTAAATTAGGAAAAGATTTTTGATGGATTTCTCAATGAATTGAATATGACATGCTTAGATTTATAATAATTTTTATTAAAATTATCAAAGCTTTCTCATTTATGAATGATACTCTTGTTGATGCCATTCAGTCGATGAGACATTTTTTTATAATATTGCGAGCATTCATGAAGTTATGTAGATAGGAAATGTTGTTAGAAAAAAAGTCTGACGCCATACAAAATCAGGAAAGTTTCCCTGGAGGAGATACTCGCCTCAGACGTAAAGAACATAATCAGTAAGTCTTTCGTTCATCTCTAGATATTTAGGAGCGTGTGTGTGTCGTCCTGTATAAATAGTTTTATGGTTATATCCTTAGAGAATATAGTACTCTAGTAATATTGAAGAATTCTGAATAAAAATTAGAGTCATTTAGATCAATTTATAGATTTTTCTTTGATTATATTATCGAAAAATTATAACATGATGTAAAATTTTGTACATAATTATTACTTGTTACTCTATCTTTCATATGTTTATTACAGGTAACAATTTTGTTTTTGATATTGAAATTTTCGATCAATAGAGAAGCAATAACTAGAATTAGATCAATGTATACAAGAGCTGAATGAATCTCATTTTTATCATAAAGTTGCAAATCATGGTGTGTGCAAGGGTGATCATCAATGACTTTTCTTCAACTACACGGCACACCCACACATAGTTGTTTCCAACATTATTCAGGGATATTTTTCCGTTTGTATTACAAGGTATTACTATGAAAATAACAAATTGATTTTTGCGATACGAAAGACACCATTTCGAAACCGTCCGAGCTAATGATATTAGAGCGTCAAATTCAGTGAATACCCAGGTCAAACATTTCGGCCACCGAATCCCGTAGAAAACTCCAGGAAATATGCGGCAAAGTCACTATATCCTGCAGGAAAACACGGGAAATCGCTGGAACATGGAAGCAGTATTTCGGTCAAAAATACGGCCGGACTTTTTCGGCGGATTCCTGTCAAATTCCTGTGCTTTCCG